GGACCAGCTGTGTTAGAGTACAGGACCAGCTGTGTTAGAGTACAGGACCAGCTGTGTTAGAGTACAGGACCAGCTGTGTTAGAGTACAGGAGATTGGTGGGACCAGCTGTGTTAGACTACAGGACCAGCTGTGTTAGAGTACAGGACCAGCTGTGTTAGAGTACAGGACCAGCTGTGTTAGAGTACAGGACCAGCTGTGTTAGAGTACAGGACCAGCTGTGTTAGACTACAGGACCAGCTGTGTTAGAGTACAGGACCAGCTGTGTTAGGGTACAGGACCAGCTGTGTTAGAGTACAGGACCAGCTGTGTTAGACTACAGGACCAGCTGTGTTAGAGTACAGGACCAGCTGTGTTAGAGTACAGGACCAGCTGTGTTAGAGTACAGGACCAGCTGTGTTAGAGTACAGGACCAGCTGTGTTAGAGTACAGGACCAGCTGTGTTAGAGTACAGGACCAGCTGTGTTAGAGTACAGGACCAGCTGTGTTAGAGTACAGGACCAGCTGTGTTAGAGTACAGGACCAGCTGTGTTAGAGTACAGGACCAGCTTTGTTAGAGTACAGGACATTGGTGGGACCAGCTGTGTTAGACTACAGGACCAGCTGTGTTAGAGTACAGGACCAGCTGTGTTAGAGTACAGGACCAGCTGTGTTAGACTACAGGACCAGCTGTGTTAGACTACAGGACCAGCTGTGTTAGAGTACAGGACCAGCTGTGTTAGAGTACAGGACCAGCTGTGTTAGGGTACAGGCCCAGCTGTGTTAGAGTACAGGACCAGCTTTGTTAGAGTACAGGACATTGGTGGGACCAGCTGTGTTAGACTACAGGACCAGCTGTGTTAGAGTACAGGACCAGCTGTGTTAGAGTACAGGACCAGCTGTGTTAGAGTACAGGACCAGCTTTGTTAGAGTACAGGACCAGCTGTGTTAGAGTACAGGACATTGGTGGGACCAGCTGTGTTAGACTACAGGACCAGCTGTGTTAGAGTACAGGACCAGCTGTGTTAGAGTACAGGACCAGCTGTGTTAGAGTACAGGACCAGCTGTGTTAGAGTACAGGACCAGCTGTGTTAGAGTACAGAACATTGGTGGGACCAGCTGTGTTAGACTACAGGACCAGCTGTGTTAGAGTACAGGACCAGCTGAGTTAGGGTACAGGACCAGCTGTGTTAGAGTACAGGACCAGCTTTGTTAGAGTACAGGACCAGCTTTGTTAGAGTACAGGACAGTGGTGGGACCAGCTGTGTTAGGGTACAGGACCAGCTGTGTTAGAGTACAGGACCAGCTGTGTTAGAGTACAGGACCAGCTGTGTTAGAGTACAGGACCAGCTGTGTTAGAGTACAGGACATTGGTGGGACCAGCTGTGTTAGGGTACAGGACCAGCTGTGTTAGAGTACAGGACCAGCTGTGTTAGAGTACAGGACCAGCTGTGTTAGAGTACAGGACATTGGTGGGACCAGCTGTGTTAGACTACAGGACCAGCTGTGTTAGAGTACAGGACCAGCTGAGTTAGGGTACAGGACCAGCTGTGTTAGAGTACAGGACCAGCTGTGTTAGAGTACAGGACCAGCTGTGTTAGAGTACAGGACCAGCTGTGTTAGAGTACAGGACCAGCTGTGTTAGAGTACAGGACCAGCTGTGTTAGAGTACAGGACCAGCTGTGTTAGACTACAGGACCAGCTGTGTTAGAGTACAGGACCAGCTGAGTTAGAGTACAGGACCAGCTGTGTTAGAGTACAGGACCAGCTTTGTTAGAGTACAGGACATTGGTGGGACCAGCTGTGTTAGACTACAGGACCAGCTGTGTTAGACTACAGGACCAGCTGTGTTAGAATACAGGACCAGCTGTGTTAGAGTACAGGACCAGCTGTGTTAGAGTACAGGACCAGCTGTGTTAGAGTACAGGACCAGCTGTGTTAGAGTACAGGACCAGCTGTGTTAGAGTACAGGACCAGCTGTGTTAGAGTACAGGACCAGCTGTGTTAGAGTACAGGACCAGCTGTGTTAGAGTACAGGACATTGGTGGGACCAGCTGTGTTAGACTACAGGACCAGCTGTGTTAGAGTACAGGACCAGCTGTGTTAGAGTACAGGACCAGCTGTGTTAGAGTACAGGACCAGCTGTGTTAGAGTACAGGACCAGCTGTGTTAGACTACAGGACCAGCTGTGTTAGAGTACAGGACCAGCTGTGTTAGGGTACAGGACCAGCTGTGTTAGAGTACAGGACCAGCTGTGTTAGACTACAGGACCAGCTGTGTTAGAGTACAGGACCAGCTGTGTTAGAGTACAGGACCAGCTGTGTTAGAGTACAGGACCAGCTGTGTTAGACTACAGGACCAGCTGTGTTAGAGTACAGGACCAGCTGTGTTAGAGTACAGGACCAGCTGTGTTAGAGTACAGGACCAGCTGTGTTAGACTACAGGACCAGCTGTGTTAGACTACAGGACCAGCTGTGTTAGAGTACAGGACCAGCTGTGTTAGAGTACAGGACCAGCTGTGTTAGAGTACAGGACCAGCTGTGTTAGAGTACAGGACCAGCTGTGTTAGAGTACAGGACCAGCTTTGTTAGAGTACAGGACCCTATGATACATTCAACTCAACCTACGTGTACATGACCCTATGATACATTCAACCTACGCGTACATGACCCTATGATACATTCAACTCAACCTACGTGTACATGACCCTATGATACATTCAACTCAACCTACGTGTACATGACCCTATGATACATTCAACTCAACCTACGTGTACATGACCCTACGATACATTCAACTCAACCTACGTGTACAGGCGTATTTGAACATGTATCTGGGATAAAGTTCAAACTCATTTCGATTTCTTCTGTCCACGAGTGTAGTGAAGTGGTCTTTGTCCAGTCCCAGAGACTCCGCCCATGGTGCCATCATGCTGAAACAAAAGCATGTCTTTTTATGGCTTTATTTTAACATCAACATGGTTTTTTTTATGGTTTTATTTTAACATCAACATGGTTTTTGATGGCTTTATTCTAACATCAACATGGTTTTTTGATGGCTTTATTGTAACATCAACATGTTTTTTTGATGGCTTTATTTTTACATCAACTTGGTTTTTTGATGGCTTTATTTTAACATCAACATGATTTTTATGGCTTCATTTTAAAACATCAACATGGTTTTTTGATGGCTTTATTCTAACATCAACATGGTTTTTTGATGGCTTTATTGTAACATCAACATGTTTTTTTGATGGCTTTATTGTAACATTAACATGGTTTTTTATGGCTTTATTTTTACATCAACATGTTTTTTTTAAATAATTTAAATTTCATTTGACAATCGTCAATATTTTCAAGAATAAAATTAATTAAAGCGAGTATCTATTAGTTAAGTCTTTCTAAAATAAATTAAAGTAAATTGAAAAAATAAAAAAAATAATAAATTAAAAAATGTCAGTGTTGTAGAACTTGTACCCAGCACAATAGGTCAGTGTTGGAGAACTTGTACAGAACAAAAATAGGTCAGTGTTGTAGAACTTGTACCCAGCACAATAGGTCAGTGTTGGAGAAATTGTACCCAACAAAAATAGGTCAGTGTTGTAGAACTTGTACCCAGCACAATAGGTCAGTGTTGGAGAACTTGTACAGAACAAAAATAGGTCAGTGTTGTAGAACTTGTACCCAGCACAATAGGTCAGTGTTGGAGAACTTGTACAGAACAAAAATAGGTCAGTGTTGTAGAACTTGTACCCAGCACAATAGGTCAGTGTTGGAGAACTTGTACAGAACAAAAATAGGTCAGTGTTGTAGAACTTGTACAAACCTGAGCAGGTCGGCGTCTGACTTGTTGTGGAACTCGCCGTCAGTGAGAAGGTCAAGGTTGTCTAGCATCACCTTCTCGATCCAGTCAAATGTTTTCGTGCCGTTAGACAGTTTGTGGACGACAAATGTTGCCTGGGGGAGAAGATTGAGAACTTCAAGCACAAAAGGTGGCGCTGGTGGGATTTGATAGGGTCAAGGTGCCCTGGGTGGAGCTGGGTGGAGCTGGGTGGAGCTGGGTGGAGCTGGGTGGAGCTAGGTGGAGCTGGGTGGAGCTAGGTGGAGCTTGGTGGAGCTGGGTGGAGCTAGGTGGAGCTGGGTGGAGCTAGGTGGAGCTGGGTGGAGCTAGGTGGAGCTGGGTGGAGCTGGGTGGAGCTATGTGGAGCTGGGTGGAGCTGGGTGGAGCTATGTGGAGCTGGGTGGAGCTAGGTGGAGCTAGGTGGAGCTGGGTGGAGCTGGGTGGAGCTATGTGGAGCTGGGTGGAGCTAGGTGGAGCTGGGTGGAGCTGGGTGGAGCTGGGTGGAGCTGGGTGGAGCTGGGTGGAGCTGGGTGGAGCTGGGTGGAGCTAGGTGGAGCTAGGTGGAGCTGGGTGGCAAGTACCCCGCTATAGATAAGGCTACTTCGGCAACTTTTTATAGTCACACTAGACGACCCAGTTTCCCGTTGGAAAACGGACAGATGTAATGCACTACACGATGCAATATTCCACTACATCCACCCCGGGAACAGGGCATTTCGCCCTGTCAATTACCCCCCGGACATCCCCCCCCCTGACATTACCCCCCAGAGTAATTACCCCCCTGTCAAATACCCCCAGCCCAGTAGGAAATTACCCCCCCCCCCCCGGACAGGGTTAGAGTTAGGGTTAGGGCTATGTTTAGGGCTAGGGTTTGGGTTAGGGTTAGGGTTTGGGTTAGGGTTAGGGTTAGGGTTAGAGCTAGAGTTAGGGTTAGGGTTAGGGTTAGAGTTGTGTCTAGCGTTGGTTTTGGTTTTGTGTGAAGTTTTAGGCTAAGGTGGGTGCTTAAGTTTTGGTCTTTTTCTTAAGGTTTGGATTAAAGTAGTATATAGGTATAGAATTCTAGTTAGAGTTAGGTTTCTAACTTGAGAGTGGGGGTGGGGGAGTAATTGACAGGGGGTAATTGATAAGTGGGGTAATTTCTCCGTGGGGTAAATACGGGGGGGGTGGGAATGTCCAGTGGGGGGGGGGGTAATTTCCGGGGGGGGGGGGGTGGTAATGTCCTGTAGCCATCCACCCCACCTATTGAACAATTTTACCCTTCACCACACCCTCACCAGTCCCTCCACCACTTCCTCACCATTCCCTAACCATTCCCCCACCATTCCCTCACCACTCCCTCACCACTCCCCACCATTCCCTCACCACTCCCTCACCACTCTTCCACCATTCCCTCACTACTCCCTCACCATTCCCTCACCACTCCCTCACCACTCTTCCACCATTCCCTCACCACTCCCTCACCACCCCCTCACCATTTCCCCACCATTCCCTCACCACTCCGTCACCATTCCCTTACCACTGGTCAGCGTTTAATTCTACATATATGATAAGAGACTAATCGTGTGTATTATTTAGCAGCACTGCATTATTAATTATTTAGTACCAGTACTTAGGGGCGTAGCGGGGGGGGGGGCGGGTAACAGTGTATTGTAGAGTGTAGCGTGGTGGATTAGCAAGATAGGTAAATATGTTAGTGCTCATTTTTGGGCTAGTGATATGCTGCTTTTTACAAATTTAGGCCTACTAACCTTTGATAAATAGAGAATGTTCTAGTGGTATGGTATGGACTTACCTTTGATAAATAGAGAATGTTCTAGTGATATGTTATGGACTAACCTTTGATAAATAGAGAGTGTTCTAGTGGTATGGTATGGAAATAGAAGGAGTTCTGATGAAATGATATGGACTAACCTTTGATAAATAGAAGGAGTTCTGGTGATATGTTATGGACCAACCTTTGATACATAGAGAGTGTTCTGGTGATATGTTATGGACTAACCTTTGATACATAGAAGGAGTTCTGGTGATATGTTATGTACAAACCTTTGATAAATAGAGAATGTTCTAGTGATATGTTATGGACTAACCTTTGATACATAGAAGGAGTTCTGGTGATATGTTATGGACTAACCTTTGATAAATAGAGAATGTTCTGGTGATATGTTATGGACTAACCTTTGATAAATAGAGAATGTTCTGGTGATATGTTATGGACCAACCTTTGACAAATAGAAGCAGTTCTGGTGATATGTTATGGACTTACCTTTGATACATAGAAGGAGTTCTGGTGATATGTTATGGACTTACCTTTGATACATAGAAGGAGTTCTGGTGATATGTTATGGACTAACCTTTGATAAATAGAGAATGTTCTGGTGATATGTTATGGACCAACCTTTGACAAATAGAAGAAGTTCTGGTGATATGTTATGGACTAACCTTTGATACATAGAAGGAGTTCTGGTGATATGTTATGGACTAACCTTTGATAAATAGAGAATGTTCTGGTGATATGTTATGGACCAACCTTTGATAAATAGAAGGAGTTCTGGTGATATGTTATGTACAAACCTTTGATAAATAGAGAATGTTCTAGTGATATGTTATGGACTAACCTTTGATACATAGAAGGAGTTCTGGTGATATGTTATGGACTAACCTTTGATAAATAGAGAATGTTCTGGTGATATGTTATGGACCAACCTTTGACAAATAGAAGAAGTTCTGGTGATATGTTATGGACTTACCTTTGATACATAGAAGGAGTTCTGGTGATATGTTATGGACTAACCTTTGATAAATAGAGAATGTTCTGGTGATATGTTATGGACCAACCTTTGACAAATAGAAGAAGTTCTGGTGATATGTTATGGACTAACCTTTGATACATAGAAGGAGTTCTGGTGATATGTTATGGACTAACCTTTGATAAATAGAGAATGTTCTGGTGATATGTTATGGACCAACCTTTGACAAATAGAAGAAGTTCTGGTGATATGTTATGGACTAACCTTTGATACATAGAAGGAGTTCTGGTGATATGTTATGGACTAACCTTTGATAAATAGAGAATGTTCTGGTGATATGTTATGGACCAACCTTTGACAAATAGAAGAAGTTCTGGTGATATGTTATGGACCAACCTTTGACAAATAGAAGAAGTTCTGGTGATATGTTATGGACCAACCTTTGATACATAGAAGGAGTTCTGGTGATATGTTATGGACCAACCTTTGATACATAGAAGGAGTTCTGGTGATATGTTATGGACTAACCTTTGATACATAGAAGGAGTTCTGGTGATATGTTATGTACAAACCTTTGATAAATAGAGAATGTTCTAGTGATATGTTATGGACCAACCTTTGATACATAGAAGGAGTTCTGGTGATATGTTATGGACTAACCTTTGATACATAGAAGGAGTTCTGGTGATATGTTATGGACCAACCTTTGATACATAGAAGGAGTTCTGGTGATATGTTATGGACCAACCTTTGATACATAGAAGGAGTTCTGGTGATATGTTATGGACCAACCTTTGATACATAGAAGGAGTTCTGATGATATGGTATGGACTAACCTTTGATACATAGAAGGAGTTCTGGTGATATGTTATGGACCAACCTTTGATACATAGAAGGAGTTCTGATGATATGGTATGGACTAACCTTTGATACATAGAAGGAGTTCTGGTGATATGTTATGGACCAACCTTTGATACATAGAAGGAGTTCTGGTGATATGTTATGGACCAACCTTTGATACATAGAAGGAGTTCTGGTGATATGTTATGGACCAACCTTTGATACATAGAAGGAGTTCTGGTGATATGTTATGGACCAACCTTTGATAAATAGAGAATGTTCTGGTGATATGTTATGGACCAACCTTTGATACATAGAAGGAGTTCTGGTGATATGTTATGGACCAACCTTTGATACATAGAAGGAGTTCTGGTGATATGTTATGGACCAACCTTTGATACATAGAAGGAGTTCTGGTGATATGTTATGGACTAACCTTTGATAAATAGAGAATGTTCTGGTGATATGTTATGGACTAACCTTTGATACATAGAAGGAGTTCTGGTGATATGTTATGGACCAACCTTTGATACATAGAAGGAGTTCTGGTGATATGTTATGGACCAACCTTTGATAAATAGAGAATGTTCTGGTGATATGTTATGGACCAACCTTTGATACATAGAAGGAGTTCTGGTGATATGTTATGGACCAACCTTTGATACATAGAAGGAGTTCTGGTGATATGTTATGGACCAACCTTTGATAAATAGAGAATGTTCTAGTGATATGTTATGGACCAACCTTTGATAAATAGAGAATGTTCTGGTGATATGTTATGGACCAACCTTTGATACATAGAAGGAGTTCTGGTGATATGTTATGGACCAACCTTTGATACATAGAAGGAGTTCTGGTGATATGTTATGGACCAACCTTTGATACATAGAAGGAGTTCTGGTGATATGTTATGGACTAACCTTTGATACATAGAAGGAGTTCTGGTGATATGGCAGGGGGAAGATGTAGACGGTCAGACGAAGGTTGGATGGTCCCAGGTTTTCGGCCACTTGCTTGATCGTCGGATAGGCTGCCCGGCTGTCTGGACAAATCAGGTCGATGTAAAGGTCAAGGTGAACTTTGGCCTCGAGACTTCCATGGTTGTAAACAAACCCCAGGGGTCGGGGAGGGAGGGCGACCTGCGCTAGGATGGACGGTAGGGACAGCAGGAGGACGTAGATGGGGATTCTTGTTCCTGGAGTATAGGTAGTAAACAGATGGATTGATTGCAGTTAATACTAACAACGTAGAGGTGGTAAACAGATGAATAGATTGCAGGTAAAACTAACAACGTAGAGGTGGTAAACAGATGGATAGATTGCAGGTAAAACTAACAACGTAGAGGTGGTAAACAGATGGATTGATTGCAGGTAATACTAACAGTGTAGAAGTAGTAAACAGATGGGTTGATTAACAGTTCCATTGGAGATAACACATGCAGGTAAATTGTAGGTAACACCCTCAGGTAAATTGTATGGAACACCACTAGGTAGACTAGAGGTAACATAAACAGGTAAATTGTAGGTAGCGAATGCAGGTAACACAAACAGGTAAATTGTAGGTAACACCCACAGGTAAATTGTAGGGAACACCACCAGGTAGACGAGAGGTAACCATAAACAGGTAAATTGTAGGTAACATAAACAGGTAAATTGTAGGTAACACCACCAGGTAGACGAGAGGTAACCATAAACAGGTAAATTGTAGGTAACACCACCAGGTAAATTGTAGGAAACACCACTAGGTTGACTAGAGGTAACATAAACAGGTAAATTGTAGGTAGCAAATGCAGGTAACACAAACAAATAAATTGAAGCATTACGAACAGGTAATAGGAGGTAACACAAGCAGAGTTATTAAAACAGGTGAAATGAGGGGAAACAGACAGGTAATTTAAACGTTACACAAAAGGTTAACTTTCGCCGGTGACCTAACGTAAAGGTCAGTGGATCAGGTGAAGCGTGATAGAGGTACAAATCAGAAAGTGATTTTAAATCAAGTTTTGGGTGGAGTTTTAATGATGAACTTTCCATACGAAGTGACTTGTGGGGATACATAGCCATGTCTGCTATGTTCGTGTGAGAAAAGAAAAACAACAGATTGATTTGTAGACATAATTATAAGAGACAGAACTGTTTTTATATGATGATTGTGTTTATATATCAAAAGCTAAACCAACGTCAAGAGAGAAATGCCCGTGAACTGTGTTCTGCATGTTATACGTTATTTTTTTTTTTTACACATTTTAACACAAATCTTAGCGTGGTGTTAAATTTTCCCTGTGGTAACGAAACATTTATGACATCACAGAGTTATATTTTTTTAGTAAGCCGCGTCAAAAAAGTTCGTGGCGCCCTCGTCACAACAGACGGCTGACGTTTCGTGAGGTTTTCAGGTTCTAATTTTAGATCTGAATTAAGACGCTTAGATTACAGCAAGACGTCAAGACGGAACTCGGCTGTAAAACTAGAGTGGGAGATGACCGAACTACTGCAGGAAAAATTGATTGTGTAATGCTGGTGTTTGAAGTCATAAAATGTGACTTACCCGTGTTTGAATGTGACTTGGTGTAACGAACAAAAAAAAGTGACTTACCCATGTCTGATTGTGATTGAAAGTTTGTACCTAACGTGACTGCGCAGTTTTAAGGCAAACTTTTCCCACAGGTGTTGTCGCGTCAGATTAGGCTTAAACATTTTTCATAGGCGGAGATTGGTGAGATTTTTACAAACATTTGTTTCAGGGGCGGAACGAATGAAATTTTAAATAGCGTATAACTAATTACATTAATTTTAGAAGCAGAGTGGAGGAGTTAAAAAATTAACAACAAATGAACATACATTTTGTTCTAAAATAAATCTACACACGATTTAGTTAGCCACAATTTTATAATTTTAAGAACTTTGTTATTTTCTCGTATTTTCTCCTATGGAGTAAAGGTGTAAAAAATACCTGTCTAAAGGTTTAAAAAAAAAAGGAATCGAGATCTTTTTTTTAAAGCCGCTGATATTATACCATGATGAATAAAAGAATCCCACAAGCATGTTCGTAAATCTGTCTGTCTGTCTGTCTGTCTGTCTGTCTGTCTGTCTGTCTGTCTGTCTGTCTGTCTGTCTGTCTGTCTGTCTGTCTGTCTGTCTGTCTGTCTGTCTGTCTGTCTGTCTGTCTGTCTGTCTGTCTGTCTGTCTGTCTGTCTGTCTGTCTGTCTGTCTGTCTGTCTGTCTGTCTGTCTGTCTGTCTGTCTGTCTGTCTGTCTGTCTGTCTGTCTGTCTGTCTGTCTGTCTGTCTGTCTGTCTGTCTGTCTGTCTGTCTGTCTGTCTGTCTGTCTGTCTGTCTGTCTGTCTGTCTGTCTGTCTGTCTGTCTGTCTGTCTGTCTGTCTGTCTGTCTGTCTGTCTGTCTGTCTGTCTGTCTGTCTGTCTGTCTGTCTGTCTGTCTGTCTGTCTGTCTGTCTGTCTGTCTGTCTGTCTGTCTGTCTGTCTGTCTGTCTGTCTGTCTGTCTGTCTGTCTGTCTGTCTGTCTGTCTGTCTGTCTGTCTGTCTGTCTGTCTGTCTGTCTGTCTGTCTGTCTGTCTGTCTGTCTGTCTGTCTGTCTGTCTGTCTGTCTGTCTGTCTGTCTGTCTGTCTGTCTGTCTGTCTGTCTGTCTGTCTGTCTGTCTGTCCGTCTGCCTAACTGATTCTCTGCTGTTTGCATGTTTGGTGGTGGATGTGCTTGGTGGATGTGTTTGGTGGATGTGTTATGTGGATGTGATGGTAGATGTGTTTGGCGAATGTGATGGTGGATGTGTTTGGTGGATGTGCTTGGTGGATGTGTTTGGTGGATGTGTTTGGTGGATGTGTTTGGTGGATGTGTCTGTCTGTCTGTCTGTCTGTCTGTCTGTCTGTCCGTCTGCCTAACTGACTCTCTGCTGTTTGCATGTTTGGTGGTGGATGTGCTTGGTGGATGTGTTTGGTGGATGTGTTATGTGGATGTGATGGTAGATGTGTTTGGTGAATGTGATGGTGGATGTGTTTGGTGGATGTGCTTGGTGGATGTGTTTGGTGGATGTGTTTGGTGGATGTGTTTGGTGGATGTGTTTGTTGAATGTGTTTGGTGGATGTGTTTGGTGGATAGGCATATTGGAATTTGTCCGGAAGTTTACAACTTTGACAACGTTTTTAATTTTCTTCGAGTATTCGTCACACGTCAAATAATGTCGTGGCCACTATTTCAAACACGCATGACGTATTTCTTCATTACCTATTAGATTATACAAACAAGTAGAATTAAACCATATTTGGATGAATTAATTATAAGGGCCATTATATTTCACACACAATAATTGCACGGATTCGCCACACAATTACCGGTTGAGGTGGAGCAGTTACATTACTACGGGTCTTTGTACCAGTTGTGCTCATCGTGTAAGACAGTTGTATCACTTGTGACTTACTAGGGCAGGTTCTCATCTAGTTCATCTCAAGAATTTCTTAAACAACATAACAGAACGTCACTATATCTGGCACATCTCAAGACAAAGCTGACCTGACTATTGAGAGTTTATTCCCCTTAAGTTAAGCTTTTAATAACATGGTAAAAATCAATATTGTTTGCAGTTATTCGTGTTAACGTAATCGATGTTAACCTAAACAACATTGTGACTTAGCAGGTTAAAGATTTAATGAGTTTTAGACACAGCCTTTGCAGAAAATCAAAAATTTAATTTTAGGCGAATTAGTTACCAAATTTATGGTTTTGTACAATGGCCGATCTAGTTTTTGTAAATGGCCAATCTAGTTTTTGTAGAATGGCCAATCTAATTTTTGTATAATGGCCAACCTAGTTTTTGTAGAATGACCAATCTTGTTTTTGTAGCATGGACAATCTAGTTTTGAAGCATGGCTAAACTAAATTTGTAAAGGCCCATAAGGTTTTTGTTTTGATCGGGTCAGTTTTGTCTGTCATATAAATCTCTAGCGTTTAGAGTCTTCTACTCACACTCTAAAACATTCGAGGCAATCTACACCCCCCCCCCTCCCCACCCACCAACATTGGAGAACATTATAACACCCACCACCACCCCCAAACACCCACACCCTTAACATTCAAGACCATCTACAACCCCCCCCCCCCCATCGCCACACCCACCCACACACACCAACACTGTAGAACATCTACATCACCCAAGGACGGTAACTCTAACATCTGTTTACACAAGGACGGTAAACATCTGTTTACACAAGGACGGTAACTCGAATATATGTTTACACAGGGACGGTAACTCTAACATCTCTTTACACAAGGACGGTAACTCTAACATCTGTTTACACAAGGACGGTAAACATCTGTTTACACAAGGACGGTAACTCTAACATCTGTTTACACATGGACGGTAACTCTAACATCTGTTTACACAAGGACGGTTACTCTAACATCTGTTTACACATGGACGGTAACTCTAACATCTGTTTACACAAGGACGGTAACTCTAACATATGTTTACACAAGGACGGTAACTCTAACATCTGTTTACACAAGGACGGTAACTCTAACATCTGTTTACACAAGGACGGTAACTCTAACATATGTTTACACAAGGACGGTAACTCTAACATCTGTTTACACAAGGAAGGTAAACATCTGTTTACACAAGGACGGTAACTCTAACATCTGTTTACACAAGGACGGTAACTCTAACATCTGTTTACACAAGGACGGTAACTCTAACATCTGTTTACACAAGGACGGTAACTCTAACATCTCTTTACACAAGGACGGTTACTCTAACATCTGTTTACACAAGGACGGTAACTCTAACGTCTACATCACCCAAGGACGGTAAACATCTGTTTACACAGGGACGGTAACTCTAACATATGTTTACTCAAGGACGGTTACTCTAACATCTGTTTACTCAGGGACGGTAACTCTAAAATGTATGTCGACATGAGTAAATCAACACTACATTTTCCAGAGCAGACAATTAGCCGTTAAAAAATCCCAGCGCTATAAATCTGATTTATGTGTTACATGTGACGTATTATAGGCATATAAGTTTTTTACTTTCTCGTATACAAGCATATAGGAAGTATTGTAATCGTGCACAAAAATCACATTAAATTTTGACAGTTTTTACCGTTTTACACCTCAGTACTTCATCATAGGGAGCATAGGGGACTTATTTTAATCGGGCAAAAATAATAAATGCATATTTATCGAAATTTCAGCGTTCTACGAGTATTCGAGTCGGAAAAACTGGGCTTTGAATTCTGTATGTCTGTGTGTATGTGTGTGTGTGTGTTTGTGTGTGTGTGTGTGTCTGTGTGTGTGTGTGTCTGTGTGTGTGTGTCTGTGTGTGTGTGTGTCTGTGTGTGTGTGTCTGTGTGTGTGTGTGTGTTTGTGTGTGTGTGTGTGTGTGTAAACACGATAACTTGAGTAGCCTACCGTTACAGCTAGGTTGATGAAATTTCATATACAAGTATTATATCAAATCTGTATAAATTTTTCAGCGATTTCCGGTGACCGAAAGTGGAACCTATTCTACTTTTGGTTTTTCAAAAGCCTAAAACTTGACTATTATTTCAGATAGATAAACGAAATTTAAAAAATTAGTAAAGTATCCAATACTCTGTCAAATTTTGAGTACTAATAATATTCCGCACTATTATACACATATTGTTTAGCGTTCACTTGGTGCGCAATTCTTTTTTTCTATGAGATTCTATATGTATTCTATTTTTAAAAGTTTAAGTAATTAAAAAGTGATTAAAATCTTGTCTATTTCCCGAGTTGCCTTCCCCCGTTGTTTTGTATAAGAATATTTGAGAAAGTTTAGGGGAGATCACTCCAGTTTTATTTAAAATTATGATGATGTGTAATATATGTAACGTGTGTGACAGATTTGTGTGATATATATATATATATATATATATATATATATATATATATATATATATATATATATATATATATATGTACGGTGTAGTATGAAGGCAGGCTAAATCTATAAACGAAACACATTTTTCAAACAAGTGTTCAGCTGTAGGCCTTGAGCGTGTTGTATTTGAGCTAGCGGATGTTGTGGTTGTGTTGATGAGTTATCTCTGTTTACCTCCCTTCCCTGACTCAGCCAACGATAACCAGACACTCGTCTCTCATCTCAAGACACGTGTGGGTAACGTCCCCTGTTTATTGCGTTATGTTTTTCGGCGCGTGTAAAGTCCAATCTTGTTACACAATTCTGACAGACATCCCATGAAGCGATGAGTTCAAACTTTATGTACGAATTTACTTAGAAGTACAACGTAAATTTAAGTTATTTAAGCATCCAATTGACTCAAATTTAATGTGGGATTGCATTGTCATCGGGTTTTGGCCTATGTGCCAAGTCTGAAACGAATCGGTCAGTTAGAAATGTCGCTCACCAGTTTCGACTCATGTCGAAACACGACAAAAGACAGAAGTACGAGGAAGAAAGTTAAATAAAAGCTTGTAACAAAAATATATAAAAAGCGTTTTAATAACAGTCATTTTATGTAATAATGCACTTAATTAAAAGGGTATAATAAATGATTTTATTAACAGGACATTTGTTTGGAAAAAGAAAGAAGTATTGCACGTCATACATACATCGGGATTTCCCGGCCACTGGCAACACATCTAGTGCAATATGGCGAATAGTGTTGTTGTCATTTTTTTAAAAATAGTGTATTAAGCTAACATTGAGTCAGGATGAGTGAGTTTATTACTTGTATCTTGTAAATCTCGGTCTATTTAAATTCTAAGATTAAAGAGAATCTGCGGTTAAATTACGTCATTAATTAAAGGATTTTTAAAAAATGTGTATATATTCTAGATCACAATTCTAATTTCCGATAGGTCTACATAGCAGAAGTAATCGATCTAGAATCTATATCTAGACTAGGATGTAGATCTAGATCTAAATCTATATCTAGGTCTTATGTAGGCTATATAGTTTCAAGTGATATTGCTATTCAATAAAAAAAACCGATGTAACGAATTTAATATATATATATATATATATATATATATATATATATATATATATATATATATATATATTATGCTCAAAATTAAGTATCTCAGATTCTTTTCAAAACAGGTCGTACGGATACTATCACATTACAAGTGTTATTGTAGCAAAATAATGTCTTGCTTAATTGTTAAATAATGGTGTAGGGACTAAGATCAAGCGATCAAGACTAGGGTTAGTTTTATGGTTAGGTCGTGGATCTAGGGCTAACTTAGAACAGACTTCTTATAGACGGATCTCTAGACGCCTACAAACACAAAGTGCCTTACTGTTGACTGACAGAACGATGTACGAACTTGAAGCGTATATTATATATAGACGTGTATGTGAGAAAATTGCTAGTTCATATAGACAAGTAACTATCTCACGTACACCTACGTTTATGTATATATATTTATATATATATATATATATATATATATATATATATATATATATATATAATATACGCCTCTCGGTAGTGTTTCGTTCCTTCAGTCAACAGTACGAAACTTTGTGCTCGTAGTCAGACATGTAATTTATTTCAACGGATTTCTCTTTTAAATAGCAAGCATAGTGCTATTTCTATTGAAAATCTTTGTTTCTTTACATGGTTGCATACAGAAATCTAAAGGTAAGAAAACATTTAGTCATATTTTTATTTAGGAATCAAAAATGTAACAAACCCTTTTCTTAGATTAATTGTTTTTATTGTGATTAGTCTGTTGAAAGTACTATGGCGGCATTTTTTCATTACAACTCCCACTATACAGCATATATTGTTACAACTTCTACTGTATCAACTCCCACTATACAGCATATATTGTTACAAATTCTACTGTAACAACTCCCACTATACAGCATATATTGTTACAAATTCTACTGTATCAACTCCCACTATACAGCACCTATTGTTACAACTTCTACAGTAATAACTGCTATAGTTATAATCTCTTTGTATTATTACTACTGCGTATTTTTCTAGCATTCTGTTTAGTACCAATTTTGATTACCTTAAAACCTTTCAAATAGTTCACTACCTGAGTCATAAAATGGATACACTTATTTGTGTTTTTATTTTGTGTACCAGCTGTTAAAGATTGGTCTTAACTGTTTTTGTCCTTGTATGTATTTATGTATAAATAAACGCTATATTTAGACAAAGACCCCTCGTTTACTTGACAAAGGGTAACAACACACTATGCAGTCTGCTTAAGTTCTAGTATTCTCAGTTTTTTAAACATAATTTTTTCTGTAGTTTTTAACCTTTTGTATTTACCGTACAATTTTGTGTAACTTCTTTAACAAGTTTTAATTATTACATTTTTAAGTAGTTTCTTGCTATAATTTGGCAGTTATTTTTAACTTTTTGTGTAGTTTCTCACAATCATAACATAGTTATCTTACTTTTTTAACATGTCTAACTTAAATTTACAGCCATCAGTTCGTCGCTGGGAACCAAGTTTTACTTTCTTGTACCGAATGAGCGAGAAATTCCTGATAAGGAAATATTTGTATTTTTATTTACACTGTCAACATTAGAAATTGAAGTAAGTTAAACATCTGTAACTAGATTCTTGTGTGTGTGTATATATATTTAAATATATACATACACACACACACACACACACACATATATATATATATATATATATATATATATATATATATATATATATATATATATATATATATATATATATATATATATATATATATATATATATATATATATATATATATATATATATATATATATATATATACAATAGCCGTCCAGGCCAGGCCCTGCTCTGGCCTCTGTGAAAAACCTATCTGTAAAGGACCATGACATGTGTATTTAGTAATCAGCATATACCCGGCATTGCCCACCCTAACCACAACCAACCAAAACCAAAAAAAAAAAAAACGCAAACATAACATAAAAGCAAACACAAATACAAGCACAAAGCAAACACAAATGTGACTTAGTTAAATGTTTAATCAATTTCAATGTATACATTCAATAACGGTAACAACAGTAGGCACGGAGACTTTTTTTTTACATTGGCCGTTTTTTCATTCACTTGTAAAAATAATTAGTCAATTGGGTACCAATTTTCCGCTTTATTATACAAAAAATTACTCGAGTTAATTTGGTGCGCAGTTATTTTTCTATTTGATTATATTCTAATTAAAGTACAACCAAACAAAATGTTATTGATAATATAACTGACCTTTATTAGGTTAATCTGACCAGTCCGTGGTTTGATGGGGAACCGTTGAACATCCATCAAGTTTTACACAGACTTCAAATCCATTCGATACAGATACCAAATACACATATGTACGTATATAATGGGCATTTCTGATACAGTTGTGTTCGTATTTAGTGGGTATTCCCGCTAGATATGTGAATATTTAATTCCCTTACACATATGGATGTGTTTAATGATGATTTCCTCTACGCACAAATATGTACGATTTTAATAGACATTCATGTTACACATAGGTATACGTTTCAAAGACATTCACACAGATCTTCACTAAAGTAAACAATTGTTCTTTTTTTTCTAGGTCAACGTTGCAGATAGGGACACAGTTCAGCTACAAAATAGTTGGTACTTGGAAGTTTGGCGTCATCGTCTTCGCTGTTGTACAGGTTCAGTCTGCCGATTCTTTCACGCTCTTGCCGGTTGAGGGTTGGGGGAAAAAATACGTTGCATGGACTAAAAGGTTTCAGTTCATTGACAACTAGTTATCAACTGGGTTATCAACTGGTTATCAACTGGTTATCAACTGGTTATTAACTGGTTATCAACTGGGTTATCAACTGGTTATCAACTGGTTATCAACTGGGTTATCAACTGGTTATCAACTGGTCATCAACTGGTTATCAACTGGGTTATCAACTGGTTATCAACTGGTTATCAACTGGTTATCAACTGGTTATCAACTGGTTATCACCTGGTTATCAACTGGTTATCACCTGGTTATCACCTGGTTATCAACTGGTTATCAACTGGTTATCACCTGGTTATCAACTGGTTATCAACTGGTTATCAACTGGTTATCAACTGGTTATCAACTGGTTATCACCTGGTTATCAACTGGTTATCAACTGGTTATCAACTGGTTATCAACTGGTTATCACCTGGTTATCAACTGGTTATCACCTGGTTATCACCTGGTTATCAACTGGTTATCAACTGGTTATCACCTGGTAATCAACTGGTTATCAACTGGTTATCAACTGGTTATCAACTGGTTATCAACTGGTTATCAACTGGTTATCAACTTTGTTGTTTGGCTGTCTCACAGTGCTCACATTCAATAGTTATCATACACCCCTCATATTGTGTAGTTATCACACACCCCTCATATTGTGTAGTTATCACACACCCCTCATATTGTGTAGTTATCACACACCCCTCATATTGTGTAGTTATCACACACCCATCATATTGTGTAGTTATCACACACCCCTCATAATTTGTAGTTATCACACACCCCTCATATGGTGTAGTTATCACACACCCCTCATATTGTGTAGTTATCACACACCCCTCATATTGTGTAGTTATCACACACCCATCATATTGTGTAGTTATCACACACCCCTCATATTGTGTAGTTATCACACACCCCTCATATTGTGTAGTTATCACACACCCATCATATTGTGTAGTTATCACACACCCCTCATATTGTGTAGTTATCACACACCCCTCATATTGTGTAGTTATCACACACCCCTCATATTGTGTAGTTATCACACACCCCTCATATTGTGTAGTTATCACACACCCATCATATTGTGTAGTTATCACACACCCCTCATATTGTGTAGTTATCACACACCCCTCATATTGTGTAGTTATCACACACCCCTCATATTGTGTAGTTATCACACACCCCTCATATTGTGTAGTTATAACACACCCCTCATATTGTGTAGTTATCACACACCCCTCATATTGTGTAGTTATAACACACCCCTCATATTGTGTAGTTATCACACACCCCTCATATTGTGTAGTTATCACACACCCCTCATATTGTGTAGTTATCACACACCCCTCATATTGTGTAGTTATCACACACCCCTCATATTGTGTAGTTATCACACACCCCTCATATTGTGTAGTTATCACACACCCCTCATATTGACCTCACATATTGTGTAGCTATCACACACCCCTCATATTGTGTTGTTATAACACACCCATCATATTGTGTAGTTATAACACACACCCATCATATTGTGTAGTTATAACACACCCCTCATATTGTGTAGTTATAACACACACCCATCATATTGTGTAGTTATAACACACCCATCATATTGTGTAGTTATAACACACACCCATCATATTGTGTAGTTATAACACACCCCTCATATTGTGTTGTTATAACACACCCATCATATTGTGTAGTTATAACACACACCCATCATATTGTGTAGTTATAACACACCCCTCATATTGTGTTGTTATAACACACCCATCATATTGTGTAGTTATAACACACACCCATCATATTGTGTAGTTATAACACACCCCTCATATTGTGTAGTTATAACACACACCCATCATATTGTGTAGTTATAACACACCCCTCATATTGTGTAGTTATAACACACCCCTCATATTATGTAGTTATAAAACACCCCTCATATTGTGTAGTTATAACACACCCCTCATATTGTGTAGTTATAACACACCCCTCATATTGTGTAGTTATAACACACGCCCATCATATTGTGTAGTTATAACACACCCCTCGTATTGTGTAGTTATAACACACACCCATCATATTGTGTAGTTATAACACACCCCTCATATTGTGTAGTTATAACACACACCCATCATATTGTGTAGTTATAACACACCCCTCATATTGTGTAGTTATAACACACACCCATCATATTATGTAGTTATAAAACACCCCTCATATTGTGTAGTTATAACACACCGCTCATATTGTGTAGTTATAACACACCCATCATATTGTGTAGTTATAACACACCCCTCATATTGTGTAGTTATAACACACACCTCACATATTGTGTAGCTATCACACACCCCTCATATTGTGTTGTTATAACACACCCATCATATTGTGTAGTTATAACACACACCCATCATATTGTGTAGTTATAACACACCCCTCATATTGTGTAGTTATAACACACCCCTCATATTGTATAGTTATAACACACCCCTGATATTGTGTAGTTATAACACACCCCTCATATTGTGTAGTTATAACACACCCCTCATATTGTGTAGTTACAACACACCCCTCATATTGTGTAGTTATAACACACCCCTCATATTGTGTAGTTACAACACACCCATCATATTGTGTACTTATAACACACCCCTCAGATTGTGTAGTTATAATACACCCCTCATATTGTATAGACACCCCTTATCGCTGATATAACTTACACATTTGTGTAGATCACCCAATGAACATGTCTTGTCTGTTCAAGTTGTTGACAAATTTGTGTAGATCACCCAATGAACATGTTTTGTCTGTTCAAGTTGTTGACAAATTTGTGTAGATCACCCAATGAACATGTTTTGTCTACTAGGTACATGCCAAGTGTTCAGATTGTCACCGATCAAGTGATTGACCTTGAACTGCGCTTGAATCTAGAGCGTTTTACCTTTACGTACCTGGGTAAAAATTACGCCACTGGTGATGTCATTACATTTCGGCTGAGGGAGTAAGTCATTTGAACGTTACATGGGGTTACAATGGGATTAAGTCATTTGACTGTTACAAGACCATGGGGTAACAATGTAAGTCTTTTGACTGTTACAAGACCATGGGGTAACAATGGGATTAAGTTATTTGACTGTTACAAGACCATGGGGTAACAATGTAAGTCATTTGACTGTTACAAGACCATGGGGTAACAATGTAAGTCATTTGACTGTTACAAGACCATGGGGTAACAATGTAAGTCATTTGACTGTTACAAGACCATGGGGTAACAATGTAAGTCATTTGACTTTTACAAGACCATGGGGTAACAATGTAAGTCATTTGACTGTTACAAGACCATGGGGTAACAATGTAAGTCATTTGACTGTTACAAGACCATGGGGTAACAATGTGAGTAAGTTATTTTACTGTTACAAGACCATGGGGTAACAATGTAAGTCATTTGACTGTTACAATACCATGGGGTAACAATGTAAGTCATTTGACTGTTACAAGACCATGGGGTAACAATGTAAGTCATTTGACTGTTACAAGACCATGGGGTAACAATGTAAGTCATTTGACTGTTACAAGACCATGGGGTAACAATGTAAGTCATTTGACTGTTACAAGACCATGGGGTAACAATGTAAGTCATTTGACTGTTACAAGACCATGGGGTAACAATGTGAGTAAGTTATTTGACTGTTACAAGACCATGGGGTAACAGTAAGAGTGTAGTATGCATTTTTGAGGTGCTGGACATATGCTTGTTTAACTTACGAGCTGAGTATCTAAGTAGCTTGTACTCAATAGCTTGTACTGTAACTTAACTACGTGTTCATCATATCATCAGTCCAGCATCATCGATCTCACTGTTGAAGAAAGAGCATACATGAAGATCTGGGTTTTGTATAGGTCGATTTGATCTAATAAGTGATAGATTTCCCAGAAATTTTGGGCCCTTTAAAAATTGGGAGACGGAAGAACCTTGACACCGAACCAGATCTTGAGACTAGAACACTAAGGAAAATATAGTTCGACCTCCGAGACTTGACTATAGGGGTGATGGCTTAGAGAGAGTGACCGCTGACTATTAAAGCGGCTAAAGTATTGAAAATTTCGTCAACAAGACTTGAAAATTTCATGTTCAAATACAGAGATACCACAATATCAAATGGTTCGGTTGAATTAAGTGTACAAAAGCTGCTTCAGGCTGTTTTCGCGATACATTTATAGCACAGTTTGAAGGAGAATAAATAAAGTACCCTTTGCAAGAGCCGTTTGCAATGTGACATGATTATTTTTGTCAACATCCAATGAAAGTATAAAAGCTAGTAGAGTCGTATTAGGAAATGCAGAGACACTTAAGATGTAGCTAGCGGTTCCGAAAAAAAAGATAAAGCAAATATTTAAGAAAGAAAAGCTAGTTAAAGTCGAAGCAAAAGGGCTCTTTGTCACATAACTAGTTGACAAGTTGGAGTATATTCCGCCCTAATTACACTTTAGAATAGAAGAAGACGAGAAGGCCGAACAAAAATAGTATATCAGGAAAGAGTTATTTAATGTGGACAAGCAATTTTAGATTTCCCATACTTTATGATATATATATATATATATATATATATATATATATATATATATATATATATATATATATATATATATATATATATAATGCATGTATGATAATAGATTGTGTATTTTAATCTCCGCATAGTAATGATTTGTTTAAAAACTACATATAATCTCAAATGACTTTTTAACAGGGGCGAGGCCTTCACGTTGTCTTTCTGTGATAGAAGGCCCTCTACTAGCCGTGCTACATTAGAAGGTAGTGTAGATAGCAAAAGTTATGTTTGAGAAACACACAGCGTCGTTTAAGATACAAACATAAATTATAATGCCATACAGGGACGTTTGGTGATACAAATTTGATGTCAGAATGCATTGTCATCGGTTCTTGACCCACTTGCCGAATTTGAAAGAAATTGGTCGATTAGAAGTGCTCGAAATTTCGCTCACCCGTTTCGATCTATGACGACAGAAAGACAGACATGACGAGGAAACAAGTTAAATAAAAGCTTAAAAAACTTTTATAACAAGCTTTTATATAAAAATGCACTAAAAAGGAGAAAAAAGATTTAAATAACTTAAACTATACTAACCCTATTTATCATAGCCATGTCTACTGTGTATAGGGCTTAATATTTTTTTTCTCGACTGAAGTATTTTTTTTTCTGCTTAGCGAGGGAGCATTCGCACGTATGTTTATTTTTTTAGCTTCAAATTCCTCTTTTTTCACATGATTGTTCCTCCTACTCGTCGCTAGGGGTAGGCTTGTATGATGTGATAAAAATTACACGAGAAAATTACTGTGAGATCACTCCCAATTTATTTAATACTAGCATTTATCTGAATGCTCAGAAATATTATTTACTCTTAAAACTTTACTATATTTGATTATTTTTATTTTAAAAGTCATCTTTATCTAATTAGTAATTTAAAATTTTCGTGGATATTAAAACATTTTTTTTTTAAATTTAGGGACACAGATTGTTTGTACGGCGCCTTGTGGTGTTGTCAGTGGTAACTGTCTGACTGGTGCCACACCACACGACTGTGTAACGAACCAGCGACTGCCAAATGTACCTGCCACAGGAGACATTCTTGCAGGTAATAATTCCTTTAGTCCGTGGTGTCCCCTCTCCTTTAAACACAGGTAAACCTGGCGAACACGCGAGACATTCTTGCAGGTATTAATTCCTTAAGCCCGTGCTGTCCCCTCTCCTTCACAATTTAATTACAGGTAAACATAGCAAACCCAGGGATAGTTGAAGTAGAGTTCTACATTTTCTGTTAGCCGACAGGAAAAATTCCAGGAGTGTTGTTCGTAACGAGGCTGCAGTGAACCTTTGTATGATTAGATTTTTAAAAACTCATTTTACGCTTCAAACTTGGGCAGAGTTTCTTCCAGGCATCTCTTCGGGTGGGGGGAGGGGGGGGGCAACGAACGAAATGAAATTTATATAATTTATATAGAAAATATATACTTTTAACAGTGTCCGCCCCCCAAAGAAAGTCTACCGCCCCCCCCCAGAACATTTCAAGTGCCCCCCCCCCCCGGAGAAAAAAGTCTGGAAGAAACACTGAACTTGGGTGATGTGGTCAGCACTTTGCACAGCAGACTTGACCTTTCTCATGCAACTATCATAGTTGGGAGATCTCAAGAACAACCTACGAAACTGAACCCGGGATCCGAACTCGAGACTTCTAAGTTTGCAGTCACGTGCTCAACCATCCGACCACGCCCTATTTGCGGAAATCAATTTCTTCCCGCTCTTGTTTCTCTTAAACATAATTAATTTTTGGTTAATACCAGCAGTTAATTGGTCTTGAATTTAGGATTACGGTCAGGCTTTAGGTTAATGTTTGGGTGGAATTTTAAAAATATATTTTGGTAGAAGAATGCCTTCCATTCCCATGCAAACTTTACAACATTATTAACAGCTATAAATGTATTTCAGTAAAATGTCTAAAATATTTTAAATAGTTGCTGTATTTTTTTCCTTCCTTTGGAATAGAGATGTTGATGCCAATTGAAACACTGGGAAAAGAATTTATTACACTCAACATCATTGGACGGATAAGGCAAGGTCGCGTGGAGGTCATAACCACCGAACCGAACACACGGATATCGTCCACGGCACCGACGGGGAATGTGGTGTACATGGACATTGGGCCGAGTTGGTCCAACCGATGGGTCAGTAACTAGAGAGGCAATGTGGTGTACATGGACATTGGGCAATGTGGTGTACATGGACATTGGGCCGAGTTGGTCAAACAGATGGGTCAGTAATGTGGTGTACATGGACATTGGGCAATGTGGTGTACATGGACATTGGGCAATGTGGTGTACATGGACATTGGGCAATGTGGTGTACATGGACATTGGGCCGAGTTGGTCCAATCGATGGGTCAGTAACTAGAGAGGCAATGTGGTGTACATGGACATTGGGCAATGTGGTGTACATGGACATTGGGCCGAGTTGGTCAAACAGATGGGTCAGTAACTAGAGAGGCCATGTGGTGTACATGGACATTGGGCAATGTGGTGTACATGGACATTGGGCCGAGTTGGTCCAATCGATGGGTCAGTAACTAGAGAGGCCATGTGGTGTACATGGACATTGGGCAATGTGGTGTACATGGACATTGGGCCGAGTTGGTCAAACAGATGGGTCAGTAACTAGAGAGGCCATGTGGTGTACATGGACATTGGGCAATGTGGTGTACATGGACATTGGGCAATGTGGTGTATATGGACATTGGGTAATGTGGTGTTCATGGACATTGGTCAATGTGGTGTACATGGACATTGGGCCGAGTTGGTCCAATCGATGGGTCAGTAACTAGAGAGGAAATGTGGTGTACATGGACATTGGGCAATGTGGTGTACATGGACATTGGGCAATGTGGTGTACATGGACATTGGGCAATGTGGTGTACATGGACATTGGGCAATGTGGTGTACATGGACATTGGGCAATGTGGTGTTCATGGACATTGGGCAATGTGGTGTACATGGACATTGGGCAATGTGGTGTTCATGGACATTGGGCAATGTGGTGTACATGGACATTGGGCCGAGTGGGACCAATCGATGGGTCAGTAACTAGAGACAAGACAATATCACTTTATTCTACAGATAAATGTTAACAAAACACATGATCTCATTACTGAGATTTGGACAGGAAAATGTTAACACGTAAAGCGAGAGTTAGCTCCCCTAAACTTTCTCGTATAATCTATATATATAATTCTCTTCTGGGAGACGCTAGAAAACAAGCTGTAAACGCGCTCCCTACCTCCCAACCTCTACATGGTCTTAGTGAGCTGTGTTCACTCTAAATGTTTACAAGCAGAGCCGGGTTATGTGACGACTATTAGGGGCAGATAATTTAGTTTAAAATGATTTTAAACGTAGGGGGGAGGGGGGTATGGTCCTTAACGAGCTACTTATAGTGTTTTAAAGACATATTTTCAGTGGCAGCGTTGGTACTGTCGAATGGTCCTTAACGAGCTACTTATAGTGTTTTAAAGAAATATTTTCAGTGGCAGCGTTGGTACTGTCGAATTCACAAATTATGAATTACTGAAAAGTAGAAAAAGCAACAACTAAATAGCGGCGTATGTTATGCCGCGGGCCTGCTCGTCTTTAATAATCAGCAATGGCACAGAGAGGAACCGGACTTTAGAAATATGGAAGCTTTGGTTGCTAGATTATGTAGGACGTCTCGTGAGAGACCGTAGCTTTTATTTAAGAAAGCAAGTTTGTTCAGTTCATTTAAAGGCTTACTATTATTAAAGATTTTTTTTTTTGTTTTCCTCCAACTGTGTACTCGAGGAGGTAAAAGCAATACATTTTTCTTACAACTCGATGTCGTCCAATGGTTTTATATATATATATATATATATATATATATATATATATATATATATATATAAAAATTAAAAGTTGTTCTTGCTATCTGCATCCATTCGGACATACTTCATATTCTGGCAAGTGTCTATTCGGGCAACGGCATTCGGGCAGGTATTTTCAGGAAAACGTCCGGCTCCCACAATAGACATATGGTATAAAAGTATTGTAAATAAAATCAATTCATCATAATTTATGGATGAACCACGAGGGCTTTGTGGCAATCTTGTCACCACATAAACAAAATAGCCTGTCTTAGTTTGTTGTCATTCATATCTTCCCTTTCAATGGTAGTTCAGATTATAACCAACAGTATCTCAGTTGCTGTTTTCTACCCTGCAGGTTGGCTGGCCTGGGATACGGTACTTCAGTAGCAACAAACCTGTGTCCGCCATGTACTATATGTTAACGGCTTGTCGCACACCCGAAGGCTTAACAATGGAGGATGGGGACCCTTCTATGTGCAATCTCATCCCTATAGCCCTCTTCTATGATGGCTACATTTGGAGGTATATATATATATATATATATATATATATATATATATATATATATATATATATATATATATATATATGTATATATATATATATATACATATATATATTTATATATATATATATATATATATATATATATATATATATATATATATATATATATATATATATATATATATATATATATATATAAATATATATATATACATATTCATTCAAATATAATGTTCTCAATTCTGTTAAAATGTGTATATTTTAGCACCCCATTCTCAAGGCGGGTAGCTCCACAGAATTACGTCTGCTTGGTTGTTAAGACGGTGGACAAAGAACATTTAAGATTCGATGACCTTGATGTACCAGAAACGTAAGGGACACACGTCTATTATTTTATTAACGTTTTTATTATTACCATAATTAAAACTTTAGCGGGACTATTCAGTCTAAGATTAAAATTCGCATAAGAGTTCTTATTAATTCCACGAATATATTCATTTTAGTTTCCTATTTATTCCACAATGTAAATTCAATATTGTTCATATCTAGTTCAAGATTTTAAAAAAAAAGTGTTTTGCTTTATCCAGTCCAAGTTTTTATTTCATTAGGTTTTTATTTTCTGAACCACGTTTTTTAATCGGTAGTGTACTTATCCAGTCCATGATAAACGAATATTCTACTCCAACACTTGAACATACATTGTTAGGATGCTTTGGATGAAGGTGCATGGAGCCCCATATGAAACTGGCAACGTACAGGTGGCACCAGGCACCCACACCGTGTATGGCGCAAGGCCAATCAAATTCGGCTGTTACATCTACGGCCTGGCTCGGTACTACAGCTACATGAACCCTGCAGGGTTTATCACATCGAAAATCAACGTGGTAGGTCATTTTATCACATCCGTATACAACGTGGTAGGTCATTTTATCACATCAGAAATCATCACAAAATCCAGCCTCGCCACTGTTAAGGAACGCTCGATTTTTTTTTTGAACTCAAGTCGTGTGAAGTTTACATTATAAACTTTGTTTACACTAGTGTCTTTCTTTTGTTGGTTTCTAGATATCATATTCTTTAAATTAGTCAGATGGAGCTTAATGGGCATTTGCTAATTTTTTTTTTTAATCTCACATTCAACATTTTATTTAGATATAAGTACATATCAAGATGTTTTATAATAAAAATTGTTTACGTCACAGCTTTAAGACATCGTTTAGCTTTTAGCTTTCTTTTGTTCATCACATAATGTATGTTTAATATGTCGACCAGCAATGGATTCCATCATTCAATTCATCACATAATTTATGTTAAATCTCTCATCAAGCAATGTATTCCATCATTGAATTCATCACATAATTTATGTTTAATCTCTCGTCTAGCAATGTATTCCATCAATCAATTCATCACATAATTTATGTTTAATCTCTCGTACAGCAATGTATTCCATCATTCAATTCATCACATCATTTATGTTAAATCTCTCATCAAGCAATGTATTCCATCATTGAATTCATCACATAATTTATGTTTAATCTCTCGTCCAGCAATGTATTCCATCATTCAATTCATCACATCATTTATGTTAAATCTCTCGAATTCATCACATAATTTATGTTTAATCTCTCGTCCAGCAATGTATTCAATTAATCAATTCATCACATAATTTATGTTTAATCTCTCGTCCATCAGTACTCCATCATTCAATTCATCACATAATTTATGTTTAATCTCTCGTACAGCAATGTATTCCATCATTCAATTTATCACATAATTTATGTTAAATCTCTCATCAAGCAATGTATTCCATCATTGAATTCATCACATAATTTATGTTTAATCTCTCGTACAGCAATGTATTCCATCATTCGATAAGAAGGATCCTGGCGATCTTATCGACAACGACTGTGACCAAAGGGTCGATGAGGAGATCGAAGATGGTATAGGTAATTTAATGTTCAAGTTCAAAGATAGTGTAGGTAATGTAAGGGTCAAGTTCAAAGATAGAGTAGTTAATGTAAGGGTATAGTTCAAAGATAAAGTAGGTAATGTAAGGGTATAGTTCAAAGATAGTGTAGGTAATGTAAGGGTCAAGTTCAAAGATAGTGTAGGTAATGTAAGGGTCAAGTTCAAAGATAAAGTAGGTAACAAAAGGCCCAAGTTCATAGATAGTGTAGGTAATATAAGGGTTAAGATTTGTTTAAATTCGATTTTTCCTTTTATTTAGATAATGATAATGACAACAGAATAGACGAGGACCTGGCGGAACCACCCAGAAGTAAGTTGACTATGTTCGATGTCATATAATGCGTTGTATGTTGTTGTGTTTGGCTGTGTTGGTTATGTTAGATGTGATAGAATGCGTTGTATGTTGTTGTGTTTGGCTGTGTTGGTTATGTTAGCTGTGATAGAATGTGTTGTATGTTATTGTGTTTGGCTGTGTTGGTTATGTTAGCTGTGATAGAATGTGTTGTATGTTGTTGTGTTTGGCTGTGTTGGTTATGTTAGATGTGATAGAATGCGTTGTATGTTGTTGTGTTTGGCTGTGTTGGTTATGTTAGATGTGATAGAATGCGTTGTATGTTGTTGTGTTTGGCTGTGTTGGTTATGTTAGATGTGATAGAATGTGTTGTATGTTGTTGTGTTTGGCTGTGTTGGTTATGTTAGCTGTGATAGAATGCGTTGTATGTTGTTGTGTTTGGCTGTGTTGGGTTATGTTAGCTGTGATAGAATGTGTTGTATGTTGTTGTGTTTGGCTGTGTTGATTATGTTAGCTGTGATAGAATGCGTTGTATGTTGTTGTGTTTGGCTGTGTTGGGTTATGTTAGCTGTGATAGAATGTGTTGTATGTTGTTGTGTTTGGCTGTGTTGGTTATGTTAGATGTGATAGAATGTGTTGTATGTTGTTGTGTTTGGCTGTGTTGGTTATGTTAGCTGTGATAGAATGCGTTGTATGTTGTTGTGTTTGGCTGTGTTGGGTTATGTTAGCTGTGATAGAATGCGTTGTATGTTGTTGTGTTTGGCTGTGTTGGTTATGTTGAGTTGTTGTGGGTTTATGTTGTCTTGATCGATTTTTTGGTGTCATGTTTAGATTTTAGATTAAGAATTAGCTTGATGTTGCATGCGTTGTGAAGTGTTCGTATTGAGTTTTGTAGCATTGGCCAGTTTAATTTTTCATCTCAGATTATTTTTTATAGGGTTAGGATTATATGTTGCATCGTTTTATGTTTTGTTGATTAAGTTAATTTTATCATTGTTTTATGTTTTTAAAGAAAATGTTTCTGTGTTCATGTTAGTTTACGACAGTGTCGTTTAAATTATGTTTTAGTTATTGTGTTATGCTAAATAAAGTCCAATATAACGTATATTTAGAGAAAACTTTAAATTTTAAAATTACGCTTTATTTAATTTTAAAAAATCAACCGTTAGACATACCTGTATTATAGTCTGAAATTTTAAAAAAATATCACAATCTTTATGAGTGCAACATATATTGTAAATGTAACCACATATTTTTTAGCCAATGGAGCATGGAGTGCTTGGACAGAATGGACGTGCACTGTGATTTGCCACGTGTACCGGGACCAGCGAACCAGGTGAGTATTTCACACCTGTTCACCTTTGTCTGTGTCAGAGAATGAGTGGTATTTAAAGTTAACCTCACGCGCAGAGGTACAGACATCCTTGAATTAACAACCATGGAGCTATACCTGATTAAATGAGAAATCTTTGTCAACTTCCAGACTATGCAACAACCCAGCTCCCGCCAACAACGGCAGAGATTGTGAAGGCAACACAGTTGAATACAGAGAAAGCGATTGTGGTCGTAATTTTATCTGCCCTACAGGTCTGGGAGACTGTATATATATATATATATATATATATATATATATATATATATATATATATATATATATATATATATATATATATATATATATATATATATATATATATATATATATAATATATATGTATATGTATATATATATATATATATATATATATATATATATATATATATATATATATATATATATATATATATATATATATATATTATATTATTAATACTAATAGTTTCGCTGTCTGTCTGACAAGAACGCTCTTTCTGACAAGAACGCTCTAGAGAAAACACAAGCAAAATAAAAACATGCACAGTAATTCGAAAAACGAAATATGACGTCGACACATTTAGCATAGAGTAGAACATAATTTCAAACCAGAGAGTGCACACAGTAATATGACGTCATTGATTCTCGCGTAAACATTGAAAAAAAGGAAATTTTGTCTAATCTAAATGGTTTGCGTGAAGAGTTTCTTGCATATAATTCTTCAGGTAGGGGCGAAGCCCCACCCCCCGCGTAAGAACGTCTGAGCCCCCCCCCCCCCCCCCCATTTAATGTGTCTAATCTAAAAAGTGGTTTTCTTGCAATTTCTTTAATGCAATTCTTCGGGTAGTGGCTAAGCGCGACACCAGTGTTTCTTTCAGACTTTTTCCTCCCCGGAGAGGGGTGGGGGTAATTGAAATTTTCGGGGGCGGGGGTAGAATTTTCGGGGAGGGGGGCGGACACTGGAAAAAGTATATAATTATATTTCGTTGAATGGGACGGTAGACATGTTTTTTTTGGGAGTGGGGGGTGGGGGGTGGGGGTGGTGTGTGTGGGGTGGGGGGGGGTGGGGTGGGGTGGTTTCCTCATCGATACTCTATAATAAAATTACCGCCTAATTAATGTGTCTAATCTAAAAAGTGGTTTTCTCGCAATTTCTTTAATGCAATTCTTCGCGTAGTGGCTAAGCGCAACACCAGTGTTTCTTTCAGACTTTTTCCTCCCCGGAGAGGGGTGGGGGTACTTGAAATTTTCGGGGGCGGGGGTAGAATTTTCGGGGAGGGGGCGGACACTGGAAAAAGTATATAATTATATTTCGTTGAATGGGACGGTAGACATGTTTTTTTGGGGGGTGGGGGTGGGGGTGGGTGGGGTGTGTGGGGTGGGTGGGGGGTGGGGTTGGGGGTTGGGGGTAGGTGTGTGTGGGGGATGGGTTGGTTTTATTTTAGAGAAAAGAGACAGCACTATCAACCTAGCGCCCGGTGTATCCTTCCTCAACGGGCCATTTTTCTCGTATAATATATATATAGATAGGTATAGATAAATATTAAGTATATATATATAATTCTCATTTTCAAAATCAGCCAATATGGATAAGTAAAACGAAATGCGATGCAAAACGCCTCATTTCTGTCCCAGATAGTTCTGTATTGAGATCGTTTATATAACCCCTCACAGATTTACTTGCCTACATTACAACCCTTTAGTTTCTGTATAACTAACTTTACAATGTTCTTGTACAGACTGCCCAGTTGGTAGATGGGATCTGAACTGTACCAAAAGTTGTGAACATTGTGAGGATGACTGCAACAAATTTCTTGGCAACTGTACAAGCTGTGCACCGGGCTTTATGTTTCCCGAACGTTCCTGCAATGAAGGTCAGTGATTGTGTCAGGTGTCAATGCAGGTCAGTGATTGTGTCAGGTGACAATGAAGGTCAGTGATTGTGTCAGGTGACAATGCAGGTCAGTGATTGTGTCAGGTGACAATGCAGGTCAGTGATTGTGTCAGGTGACAATGCAGGTCAGTGATTGTGTCAGGTGACAATGCAGGTCAGTGATTGTGTCAGGTGACAATGCAGGTCAGTGATTGTGTCAGGTGACAATGCAGGTCAGTGATTGTGTCAGGTGACAATGCAGGTCAGTGATTGTGTCAGGTGACAATGCAGGTCAGTGATTGTGTCAGGTGACAATGCAGGTCAGTGATTGTGTCAGGGGACAATGCAGGTCAGTGATTGTGTCAGGTGACAATGCAGGTCAGTGATTGTGTCAGGGGACAATGCAGGTCAGTGATTGTGTCAGGTGAACTGTATTTCGTTGTGAATAAAATATACTTTCGCATGTGTATTCAAATTTTAGATATATGTTACCGGTAATGTATGAAAACCCGACATTCTATCAAATGCCAAGGCAATGTATACAATCCCTATCGTTTTTAGACTAAGTATAAAATACTGGCGTTATTTATTTTTCCTACTCATGACATAAAACGCCGAGACTTTAAATAGAATGTCAAAGCTGATCAGGCAAAGTGTGAAATGCTCTGTTTGCAAAAGACTGAAATAACAAACAGTGAAAAAATGGAAGAAAAAACACAAAATGAACAACAGGAAATTTTTATTGAGTGAACCCTAACCCCAAATCTAATTCTATCTCTAGCCCTACCCCTAATCCTAAACTGAACTTAACCCAATTTCTAACCCAAATTATTGATATTTTGCAATTATTGTAAACTCTGCCTGTTTGTTATTTGGTATTCTATAGAATGACTAGAAATGTATTAATGCATTCCATACTTTGACGGCCAATTTCAGTCGTTATATACATTGCCTAGGTATTCTATAGAACGCCGTTTGTACACTTTGCCAGTAACATATACATTAACTAATGTATCCTTCATCCAATTGAAGTGTGTCCCCCTTTTAAATATGGCAAAAACTGTGAGGGAAATTGTATGGAGAAATGTGAGGCTGAATGTCTGGATAAAGTCAATGGGAACTGTCCACGTAAGTGTTTTAGATTAACTCGGGGATTATCTTCAACTCAATAGTTTAGCTTAACTCCTGTTGGGGATTATCTTCAACTCAATGGTTCAGCTTAACTTAGGATGGAGGTTAAAATGAATTAAGCACGGAGACATGATATATGTTTCTCTTAAATCTGTCAAGTGCCCAATGTTTGTATTTTCTGCCTATTGTTTAGTTGTATGAAGTTCAGAATAGATGTCTTTTGTTTGCAGTGAAAGACAACCCATATTTAAAACTGTTGTGGTTGCTAATGCTTATTCCAGTTATCACCCTTTTCCTTTTCATTCTTAGGTGAGTTTTTTTCCTTGCAGTAACTTTAAAATAACGTATTATTTCATTTCACTGAAAGGAGTAAATAAATACATAAGATAATAGCTGGTAGGAATTGTAAAACAAAACTAGAAATTGCAACGACATTAGTTGGAACTACTCAGCATATCACATAACCTGTAAACATTCACCAGCAAACAACCACTAACTGGTATATAAAAGTAGTAACAAAGGTTAAAACCCCCGCATTGTGTATCAGAATTATTTTCTTTGTAATCTCATAGTTAAATAGATTAGGGGTCTATACAGTGATGCGTGGACAGATTTAAATTTAAAAAATGTTTGTTTCACCAGACGCAAGCACAATTCTGCGTCAGTGCCAGTTGAAGAAAACAAAGCTCCAGCTGATGCTGCAACAGAACCTGCAACAGAACCTCCAACAGAGGTCCTACACAGTAGAGCCCCGTCGTCAGTTCCTGAGTCTGTGGCAGGGGGCAAGGATAAGTCGTTGGTCGGAGATTTGGAAACTTCGGTCTAAGTGGGTTTGTTGCTGGAGGTTGAAATAGTCCTCACTATAGGGATGGTGGCTGATTGAGGAGTGGAATACATTCATATTATTTTGGAAAAGATCGGGGAATATAATAACAAGTTCTGTCAAAATTTATGTATAAGTGGTAACAGTTTCTAATTTCTTTTAAATATGTTTCATTGTAAGAATAATATTAAATAAACATAGAGAGGTGTATTTATTTCATTTAAATGCATTATTTTTGTTGTTTTATTACAATATTGGCAAACTTATTTATATTTTGGTTCAAATGTTTACATTTTTGTTGTTTATGTCAATTGATTGTGTGGCTTACTTTTAAGGGCAGGTTAAACCCCTCACATGAAAGCAGTGAGTTTGGATAATTTTAAGGTACAAGGAAGTTGTAAATAACATTAAAAAAATAAAGAAAAGCCTCAAAAACATAGCTACCATTTCTGATTTGAGTTTTTCAGTTGCATATTCTCTGGAATTTGCGTAACTTTTTCAAAGATAAAGATAAATAAACAGATGATAGCGAATGTTTTAGAGCCACTGTGTTTCAAAAGGGTTTGTAATAATGCAGGTAATATGTCGCAAGATACTAATCGGTTTAAAAAAATGTCTGGGTGTGTGAACCTAATTATTCTAATTTAGAAGAAGAAGAATTATTTTAAAAAAAATTAGATATTGAGTTATTGTATTTTTATAACTATCAACTACTAACATGTTGGAAACGAAACTAGAAGTATAGTCTACAATGACACTTTTTAAATACTCTATAAGTAAAACAATAAACATATAATATATTGATTTTACTGGTAAACGTTTTTTCAGACTCAAAATGTGTCACGTTGACTTTACCGTTGTTAAAAAAAAGTGGATATTATTATTTCTACTGCATTAAAAAATAGTTTTAAACCATCCAGATTAGGAAAAATCGACAATTCAGTCTTGTGCGTATGTTTCCTTGTGTGTGTGTGTGTGTATGTGTGTATGTGTGTGTGTTTGTATGCGTGTGTACGTGTATGTGTATCTGTGTAAAACGGTAAATTAGTATCTTTCTAGGTAGGATGGCAAAATTTCATGAATATGTATTTGATCCTATATATATATATATATATATATATATATATATATATATATATATATATATATATATATATATATATATATATATATATATATATATGTAATTTCTTCTAGCTAACTGAAAAAACACTCAAATTGTCGTGTTCCCACACAAAATGATTAAAGTAACTTTTTCTCGCTTATAGGGAAATCGTTAATAAGTTAACAAAAACCTACGCATTTAATTTAATAGTTTTTAGAAGTTTTGTCCGCCTAACTTAAATAAGTACATCTTCGATCACTCGAAATCGCTCAAAGTTTGACTACAAATGTTGCATAATATTTATATACCAGCCGAACCGCGGCGTAGCATACGCCGCTATTTAGTTGTTTTATTTTCTACTTTCAGTAATTCATAATTTGTGAATTCAACACTACCAAACACTACTGCGACAAATATTTTGCTTTAAAACACGCTCAGTAGCTCATGAAGGACGATTGTCCTCACCATCCCCTCCACTTCCCATCCCACCCCCACCCCGCCTCCGTGAAAGCAGCCGTCCGTAACGACATTTTACTGACGATAATGAAAAGATCAAGCAGAACTTGTTACCTCCCCTTAGTTTCAAATAGTTTAAAAACTAAATCATCTGCTCTTAATAACCATCACTTATTCGACTCGGCTCTACGATTGTAAACATTTGGCGTGAATCACTGCTCACCAGACTGGTTGGATTGGGGTGGTAGAGATATGGTCTGTTGATAGCAAGGAGAGAGGGGGAGGTCGGCATGCTTACGTGGTGGTGTCCCGCATGGTTTCTCCATGAAGATAATTATATATATATATACGAGCCGACCCGCGGCGTATCATATGCGGCTATCTAGTTGTTTTATTTTCTACTTTTCAGTAATTCATAATTTGTGAATTCGACAGTTCCAATGCTGCCACTGAAAATATTTGCTTTAAAACACTATTAGTAGGTTGTTAAGGACGATACCCCCCCCCCCCCACCCTCCTTTCCCCCTACCCTACACACCCCCCCCCCCCCGGTGAAAGCAGCCTCCTCTTAGTTACCTCCCCTAAGTTTAAAATCGTTTCAAACTAAATTATCTGCCCCTAATAGCCGTCACTAAACACGGCTCTACGATTGTAAACATTTAGCGTGAACCACGGCTCATCAGACCATGTGGGGATGGGGGTGGTTGCGATATGCTTAGAGAGGAAGAGAGGGGGCTGCTAGGCGCGCTTACAGCTTGGTGTTTTCTAGGGTATCCAAGAAGAGAATTATATATTTAGATACCAGATGAGATTTCATCAATCAACATAGAGGGGTGCTCAAGTTATCGTATATACATACAAACACACAGAGATGGAAAGGCTTGCAAAAGTAAGATTTTCAAACTCCGAAAGTATATAGATTATGTAAAAAAACTATCTCGCGATTTACGTTGAAAAAGGGAGGTATAAAACGACAAAAAACTAAAAAAATTCATTTAATTTCTCTTAACTCGATAAAAATACTTCCTCTACTATACTCTGTATACGAGAAAGTAAAAATTGCACATCACACACTCATCGGGATTTTCCGTTCACTGGCAACATATTTAATTCAACATGGCGAATAGCGCATCCTAGCTTCTTATGATGGTTTGTAAAACTAGCATTAAGACAGGATGAGTGAGTCTATTCTTGTATTTTGTAAGTCCTTAGAATATAGCGAGATTGCGGTTGAATTATGCGATTAACTTAAAATTTTTATAATTAGATCAAGCTTAAAACTCCTAATGTCCCATAGGTCTTTATCCATATAGAATATATATATAGATCTATATTTATATTCAATGTAAATAAAGATCTAGATCTAGATCTCAAGTAAATGTAATCAGTAATCCATCTATAATCTACATCTTTACTATCTATATATTGATATAGTTCTTTTAAATATATCGCATCAAGCAAAAATGATAATCGATAGATAAAAGTAATGTAACAAATTTAAAATATATATATAGGCCTACATTATACTCAACATTAATTATATCGGATTCTTTTAAAAAAGGTCTTGAAGATTTTATTGCATTACAAAGTGTGATTGTAGCTAAATAATGTCTTGCACGATTGTTAAATGATGGTCGTATATTTGGTCGTATATTTGGTCATATATTTGGTCTTATATTTGGTCGTATATTTGGTCGTATATTTGGTCATATGTTTGGTCGTATATTTGGTCGTATATTTGGTCGTATATTTGGTCGTATATTTGGTCGTATATTTGGTCGATTATTTGGTCGTATATTTGGTCGTATATTTGGTCGTATATTTGGTCGTATATTTGGTCGTATATTTGGTCGTATATTTGGTCGTATATTTGGTCGTATATTTGGTCGTATATTTGGTCGTATATTTGGTCATATATTTGGTCGTATATTTGGTCGTATATTTGGTCGTATATTTGGTCGTATATTTGGTCGTATATTTGGTCGTATATTTGGTCGTATATTTGGTCGTATATTTGGTCGTATATTTGGTCGTATATTTGGTCGTATATTTGGTCGTATATTTTATTATCTATTAAAAGACTTGTTATTGACGATGTCTCGAGTACTACGAATACAAGGTGCCATACTTAGGACTGATGGAATGACATGTCCCTAGCGGATTTATTACATATGTGTATTTGAAATACATACTAGATTACATAGATTTGTAATTTATTTCAACTGTTTCTTTTTTCAATAGCAAGATCAGTGATATTTCTTTTGAAAGTTTTTGTTTATTTACATTGTTGCGTTCATGAATCTAAAGGTAAGAAAAAAATGATATTTTTGGTGATATTTTTAAAAAGTAAACAAAAAACTAACATGCCCAGATTTTTAAAATTAAAGAATGTAGTGTTTGTATTGGAGCTGTTGAAGCTACCATTCTAAAGTAATAACATACTATGTTATAGTTTTACGTTCTAGTTAAACATTTTTAAACTTTTTCGTTTTCTGTAGTTTTTAACATTATGTATTTACCGTAGTAATTTGTGTAACTTGTGTAACTTCATAAACAATTTTTAAGTATTAAATTTAAAGTAGATTCTTGCTATAATTTGATAGTTATTTTTAAATGTGAGTGTAGTTTCTCACATTGATTACTTAGTTATCTTACTGTTTTAAAATGTCTTACTTCTAAATTGACACTATTCTTTTGTGACATACCTGTTTTTAAAATGTCTAACTTTAACTTGACAGCCGTCAGTTCGTCGTTGGGAACCAAGTTTTACTTTCTTGCACCGAATGAGCTAGAAAGTCCTGACAAGGAAATATTTGTATTTTTATTTACACTGTCTACAAGGGAGGTGGGAGTAAGTCGTTATGTTGTTTAAAAGATTCATTCATACTGTATATATATATATATATATATATATATATATATATATATATATATATATATATATATATATATATATATATATAGGCCTATATATATATACCTATATATGTATAATATATATATATATATATATATATATATATATATATATATATATATATATATATATATATATATATATATATATATATATGTATATATATATATGTATATATATATATATATATATATATATATATATATATATATATATATATATATATATATATATATATATATATATTTATATTTATTTATATGTATATGTAAATATATATTACATGTATTGTCTGATTTTAATTCGGTTCCAACTAACACCAAATTTAGAGGCAAAACTGAATGAATATTTTTTTTTTTTGTTTACTAAAGAACATATTTTAGCCTTGTGTTCCTATTATTGCAATAATATTAGCTAAAATTATAACAACAATTTAATGAAATCGTGATTTCAAAAACTTCTTAGAGAAATAATTATCCACCTCACATTTAAATACAAAGAAAATAATGGAACAAAATGCGGAAATAATACAACTAACATTTATTTAGATTGATCTGACCAGTCCTTGGTTTGACGGGGAGCCGTTGAATATACATAAAGTTTTATACAGACTTCAAGTCAATTCCATTGAGATACCTACTGCATATACGTAAGTATTCAATTGAAATGCCCGCTACATAAATGTAAGTCCTCAAGTGACATGCCTATCACACATATGAAAACGTAATGGACATTCCCTCTACACAAACGTTGTATTTAAAAGACATTGATTCTTCAGACATGTATATTATTGTTTGACTAGATCAACTCAACAGATAGGGGCACAGTTCAGCTACAAGATAGCTGGTACAGGCAAATTCGGCGTCATTATTTTCGTGGTCGTTGAGGCAACTTCAGCCGATTCTTTCACACCGTTGCCGGTTGAGGGTTGGGGGAACAAATACGCAGCATGGACCAAAAGGTATCAGTTCATTTACAACTGGTTATCAACTGATTAACAACTGATTATCAACTGGTTACCAACATTGTTGTTTAGCTGCAACGTTCTTTTTTTTAGCTTTCTGCCATCCCTCACAGTATGTAGCTCTCTCACATCCCTCACATTATGTAGCTCTCTCACATCCCTCACATTATGTATCTCTCTCACATCCCTCACATTATGTAGCTCTCTCACATCCCTCACAGTATGTATCTCTCTCATATCCCTCACATTATGTAGCTCTCTCACATCCCTCACAGTATGTAGCTCTCTCACATCCCTCACATTATGTATCTCTCTCACATCCCTCACATTATGTAGCTCTCTCACATCCCTCACATTATGTATCTCTCTCACATCCCTCACATTATGTAGCTCTCTCACATCCCTCACAGTTTGTAGCTCTCTCACATCCCTCACAGTATGTATCTCTCTCACATCCCTCACAGTATGTACCTCTCTCACATCCCACACAATGTGTATCTCTCTCACATCCCTCACATTATGTAGCTCTCTCACATCCCTCACATTATGTAGCTCTCTCACATCCCTCACAGTTTGTAGCTCTCTCACATCCCTCACATTATGTAGCTCTCTCACATCCCTCACAGTATGTATCTCTCTCATATCCCTCACATTATGTATCTCTCTCACATCCCTCACATTATGTAGCTCTCTCACATCCCTCACATTATGTAGCTCTCTCACATCCCTCACATTATGTAGCTCTCTCACATCCCTCACATTATGTAGCTCTCTCACATCCCTCACATTATGTAGCTCTCTCACATCCCTCACAGTGTGTAGCTCTCTCACATCCCTCACAGTATGTAGCTCTCTCACATCCCTCACATTATGTAGCTCTCTCACATCCCTCACAGTATGTATCTCTCTCATATCCCTCACATTATGTAGCTCTCTCACATCCCTCACATTGTGTAGCTATCTCACATCCCTCACAGTATGTATCTCTCTCACATCCCTCACATTATGTAGCTCTCTCACATCCCTCACATTATGTAGCTCTCTCACATCCCTCACAGTATGTATCTCTCTCACATCCCTCACATTATGTAGCTCTCTCACATCCCTCACAGTATGTATCTCTCTCACATCCCTCACATTATGTAGCTCTCTCACATCCCTCACAGTATGTATCTCTCTCACATCCCTCACATTATGTAGCTCTCTCACATCCCTCACAGTTTGTAGCTCTCTCACATCCCTCACAATATGTATCTCTCGCACATCCCTCACAGTATGTAGCTCTCTCACATCCCTCACATTATGTATCTCTCTCACATCCCTCACAGTGTGTAGCTCTCTCACATCCCTCACAGTATGTATCTCTCTCACATCCCTCACATTATGTAGCTCTCTCACATCCCTCACAGTTTGTAGCTCTCTCACATCCCTCACAGTATGTATCTCTCGCACATCCCTCACAGTATGTAGCTCTCTCACATCCCTCACAGTATGTATCTCTCTCACATCCCTCACATTATGTAGCTCTCTCACATCCCTCACATTATGTAGCTCTCTCACATCCCTCACAGTTTGTAGCTCTCTCACATCCCTCACAGTATGTATCTCTCTCACATCCCTCACATTATGTATCTCTCTCACATCCCTCACAGTATGTATCTCTCTCATATCCCTCACATTATGTAGCTCTCTCACATCCCTCACATTATGTAGCTCTCTCACATCCCTCACAGTATGTATCTCTCTCACATCCCTCACATTATGTAGCTCTCTCACATCCCTCACAGTATGTATCTCTCTCACATCCCTCACATTATGTAGCTCTCTCACATCCCTCACAGTTTGTAGCTCTCTCACATCCCTCACAATATGTATCTCTCGCACATCCCTCACAGTATGTAGCTCTCTCACATCCCTCACATTATGTATCTCTCTCACATCCCTCACAGTGTGTAGCTCTCTCACATCCCTCACAGTATGTATCTCTCTCACATCCCTCACATTATGTAGCTCTCTCACATCCCTCACAGTTTGTAGCTCTCTCACATCCCTCACAGTATGTATCTCTCGCACATCCCTCACAGTATGTAGCTCTCTCACATCCCTCACAGTATGTATCTCTCTCACATCCCTCACATTATGTAGCTCTCTCACATCCCTCACATTATGTAGCTCTCTCACATCCCTCACAGTTTGTAGCTCTCTCACATCCCTCACAGTATGTATCTCTCTCACATCCCTCACATTATGTAGCTCTCTCACATCCCTCACATTATGTAGCTCTCTCACATCCCTCACATTATGTAGCTCTCTCACATCCCTCACAGTTTGTAGCTCTCTCACATCCCTCACAGTATGTATCTCTCTCACATCCCTCACATTATGTAGCTCTCTCACATCCCTCACAGTATGTATCTCTCTCATATCCCTCACATTATGTATCTCTCGCACATCCCTCACAGTATGTATCTCTCTCACATCCCTCACAGTATGTATCTCTCTCATATCCCTCACATTATGTATCTCTCTCACATCCCTCACATTATGTAGCTCTCTCACATCCCTCACATTATGTATCTCTCTCACATCCCTCACAGTATGTATCTCTCTCATATCCCTCACATTATGTAGCTCTCTCACATCCCTCACAGTATGTATCTCTCTCACATCCCTCACATTATGTAGCTCTCTCACATCCCTCACAGTATGTATCTCTCTCATATCCCTCACATTATGTATCTCTCTCACATCCCTCACATTATGTAGCTCTCTCACATCCCTCACATTATGTATCTCTCTCACATCCCTCACAGTATGTATCTCTCTCATATCCCTCACATTATGTAGCTCTCTCACATCCCTCACATTATGTAGCTCTCTCACATCCCTCACAGTATGTATCTCTCTCATATCCCTCACATTATGTATCTCTCTCACATCCCTCACATTATGTAGCTCTCTCACATCCCTCACATTATGTATCTCTCTCACATCCCTCACAGTATGTATCTCTCTCATATCCCTCACATTATGTAGCTCTCTCACATCCCTCACAGTATGTAGCTCTCTCATATCCCTCACATTATGTAGCTCTCTCACATCCCTCACATTATGTAGCTCTCTCACATCCCTCACAGTATGTAGCTCTCTCACATCCCTCACATTATGTATCTCTCTCACATCCCTCACATTATGTATCTCTCTCACATCCCTCACAGTATGTAGCTCTCTCATATCCCTCACATTATGTAGCTCTCTCACATCCCTCACAGTATGTAGCTCTCTCACATCCCTCACATTATGTATCTCTCTCACATCCCTCACATTATGTATCTCTCTCACATCCCTCACATTATGTATCTCTCTCACATCCCTCACAGTATGTAGCTCTCTCATATCCCTCACATTATGTAGCTCTCTCACATCCCTCACATTATGTAGCTCTCTCACATCCCTCACAGTATGTAGCTCTCTCACATCCCTCACATTATGTATCTCTCTCACATCCCTCACATTATGTATCTCTCTCACATCCCTCACATTATGTAGCTCTCTCACATCCCTCACATTATGTAGCTCTCTCACATCCCTCACAGTTTGTAGCTCTCTCACATCCCTCACAGTATGTATCTCTCTCACATCCCTCACATTATGTAGCTCTCTCACATCCCTCACATTATGTAGCTCTCTCACATCCCTCACATTATGTAGCTCTCTCACATCCCTCACAGTTTGTAGCTCTCTCACATCCCTCACAGTATGTATCTCTCTCACATCCCTCACATTATGTAGCTCTCTCACATCCCTCACAGTATGTATCTCTCTCATATCCCTCACATTATGTATCTCTCGCACATCCCTCACAGTATGTAGCTCTCTCACATCCCTCACAGTATGTAGCTCTCTCACATCCCTCACATTATGTAGCTCTCTCACATCCCTCACATTATGTAGCTCTCTCACATCCCTCACAGTATGTATCTCTCTCATATCCCTCACATTATGTATCTCTCTCACATCCCTCACATTATGTAGCTCTCTCACATCCCTCACATTATGTATCTCTCTCACATCCCTCACAGTATGTATCTCTCTCATATCCCTCACATTATGTAGCTCTCTCACATCCCTCACATTATGTAGCTCTCTCACATCCCTCACAGTATGTAGCTCTCTCATATCCCTCACATTATGTAGCTCTCTCACATCCCTCACATTATGTAGCTCTCTCACATCCCTCACAGTATGTAGCTCTCTCACATCCCTCACATTATGTATCTCTCTCACATCCCTCACATTATGTATCTCTCTCACATCCCTCACAGTATGTAGCTCTCTCATATCCCTCACATTATGTAGCTCTCTCACATCCCTCACAGTATGTAGCTCTCTCACATCCCTCACATTATGTATCTCTCTCACATCCCTCACATTATGTATCTCTCTCACATCCCTCACATTATGTATCTCTCTCACATCCCTCACAGTATGTAGCTCTCTCATATCCCTCACATTATGTAGCTCTCTCACATCCCTCACATTATGTAGCTCTCTCACATCCCTCACAGTATGTAGCTCTCTCACATCCCTCACATTATGTATCTCTCTCACATCCCTCACATTATGTATCTCTCTCACATCCCTCACATTATGTAGCTCTCTCACATCCCTCACATTATGTAGCTCTCTCACATCCCTCACAGTATGTATCTCTCTCACATCCCTCACATTATGTATCTCTCTCACATCCCTCACATTATGTAGCTCTCTCACATCCCTCACATTATGTAGCTCTCTCACATCCCTCACAGTTTGTAGCTCTCTCACATCCCTCACATTATGTAGCTCTCTCACATCCCTCACATTATGTAGCTCTCTCACATCCCTCACATTATGTAGCTCTCTCACATCCCTCACATTGTGTATCTCTCTCACATCCCTCACATTATGTAGCTCTCTCACATCCCTCACATTGTGTATCTCTCTCACATCCCTCACATTATGTAGCTCTCTCACATCCCTCACATTATGTAGCTCTCTCACATCCCTCACATTGTGTATCTCTCTCACATCCCTCACATTATGTAGCTCTCTCACATCCCTCACATTGTGTATCTCTCTCACATCCCTCACATTATGTAGCTCTCTCACATCCCTCACATTATGTAGCTCTCTCACATCCCTCACATTATGTAGCTCTCTCACATCCCTCACATTGTGTAGCTCTCTCACATCCCTCACATTATGTAGCTCTCTCACATCCCTCACAGTATGTAGCCCCTCCACACACTAAGCAATTATTTCACGTGCCTCATATAATGGCGTAGCTACCACATTTCTTCTAAGTTGTTAACAAATTTGTGTAGATCACCCAATGAACATGTCTTGTCTGTTCACATTGTTAACAAATTTGTGTAGATCACCCAATGAACATGTTTTGTCTGCTAGGTTCATGCCAAGTGTTCAAATTGTCACCGATCAAGTGAACGACGTGGAAATTCGTTTGAATCTAGAGCGTTTTACTTTTACTCACCTGGGTAGAAATTACGCCACTGGTGATGTCATGACAGTTCGGCTCAGGGAGTAAGTCGTGTGACAGCCAGTAAGAATGAGAGTAAAGCACATATTACGTAACGTCTACACTTACTTAACTGATTACCGCATCAGTCAGGATCGTCATTTCTCAGTTTCGGAGAATGAGCATCAACATACATTTTACCTTGATTAAATCCATCTGATTATGAAAACAAAAATTTTTAAAATTGACTTAAATCCTCCTAAATGATATACTTGTTTGTCCTGATATATTTTGTTCTGAGATCATTTGTCGGTGAGATATTTTGTCTGAGATATTTTGTCTGAGATATTTTGTCTGAGATATTTTGTCTGAGATATTTTGTCTGAGATATTTTGTCTGAGATATTTTGTCTGAGATATTTTGTCCTGAGATCTATTGTCATGGAACCATATATATATATGTAATATATATATATATATATATATATATATATATATATATATATATATATATATATATATATATATATATATATATATGTGTGTGTGTGTGTGTGTGTGTGTGTGTGTATAAATGGTATTATGTTCTGTATTGTAACGTAAAGCAATGATTTGTTTAAAATGAACGTATAATCTCAAATGACTTTTTGACAGGGGTGAGGCCTTCACGTTGTCATTCTGTGATATCCGAACAGCTAATAATAATCTTGCTAATTTACAAGGTAGTGTAGAATAGCTAATGTTATGTTCCAAAACATAACATCGCTGTAGATACAAACAAAATTTTAAATGCCAAACAGACCTAGACCTAGACCTAGACCTAGACCTAGACCTAGACGTAGACCTAGACCTAGACCTAGACCTAGACCTAGACCTAGACCTAGACCTAGACCTAGACCTAGACCTAGACCTAGACCTAGACCTAGACCTAGACCTAGACCTAGACCTAGACCTAGACCTAGACCTAGACCTAGACCTAGACCTAGACCTAGACCTAGACCTAGACCTAGACCTAGACCTAGACCTAGACCTAGACCTAGACCTAGACCTAGACCTAGACCTAGACCTAGACCTAGACCTAGACCTAGACCTAGACCTAGACCTAGACCTAGACCTAGACCTAGACCTAGACCTAGACCTAGACCTAGACCTAGACCTAGACCTAGACCTAGACCTAGACCTAGACCTAGACCTAGACCTAGACCTAGACCTAGACCTAGACCTAGACCTAGACCTAGACCTAGACCTAGACCTAGACCTAGACCTAGACCTAGACCTAGACCTAGACCTAGACCTAGACCTAGACCTAGACCTAGACCTAGACCTAGACCTAGACCTAGACCTTGACCTAGACCTAGACCTAGACCTAATGTTTAAAAATCTGGCAGATTTAAAAAAAAATTATTTGCTTTAGGGACACTGATTGACTGTACCGCACCGTGTGGTGTTGTTAGCGGTAATTGTATCACTGGAAACATACCAAGCAACTGTGAAACGAACGAACCTCTAATGAATACAGGGCCTACAGGAGATATCATAGCAGGTATTTATTTAGCTAGTAGTGGTGTCAGCACTATACACAGTGGACAGATTAAAACGAGTGTTACGGTGTTCACGATAGAGATAGTGTGGTCAGCACTATGCAAAGTGGACAGATTAAATAGAGTATTACTGTGTCCACTACAGAGATAGTGTGGTCAGCACTATGCACAGTAGACAGATTAAATAGAGTGTTACTGTGTTCACTACAGCACTATGCACAGCCTCTTTTACTCCCGTGTTGTGATGGCTGATCACAGCAGGGTAGTCTCAGACACGGTGCTGTGTGGACTCCACTCATACACGGTGCTGTGTGGACTACACTCAGACAAGGTGCTGTGTGGACTACACTCAGACAAGGTGCTGTGTGGACTCCACTCAGACACGGGGCTGTGTGGACTCCACCAACAGGGTAGTCTAAGACACGGTGCTGTGTGGACTCCACCAACAGGGTAGTCTAAGACACGGTGCTATGTGGACTCCACTCAGACACGGTGCTGTGTGGACTCCACTCAGACACGGTGCTGTGTGGACTCCACCAACAGGGTAGTCTCAGACACGGTGCTGTGTGGACTACACTCAGACACGGTGCTGTGTGGACTCCACCAACAGGGTAGTCTCAGACACGGTGCTGTGTGGACTCCACCAACAGGGTAGTCTCAGACACGGTGCTGTGTGGACTCCACCAGCAGGGTAGTCTCAGACACGGTGCTGTGTGGACTCCACCAGCAGGGTAGTCTCAGACACGGTGCTGTGTGGACTCCACCAGCAGGGTAGTCTCAGACACGGTGCTGTGTGGACTCCACTCAGACACGGTGCTGTGTGGACTCCACCAGCAGGGTAGTCTCAGACACGGTGCTGTGTGGACTCCACCAACAGGGTAGTCTCAGACACGGTGCTGTGTGGACTCCACCAACAGGGTAGTCTCAGACACGGTGCTGTGTGGACTCCACCAACAGGGTAGTCTCAGACACGGTGCTGTGTGGACTCCACCAGCAGGGTAGTCTCAGACACGGTGCTGTGTGGACTCCACCAGCAGGGTAGTCTCAGACACGGTGCTGTGTGGACTCCACCAACAGGGTAGTCTCAGACACGGTGCTGTGTGGACTCCACCAGCAGGGTAGTCTCAGACACGGTGCTGTGTGGACTCCACTCAGACACGGTGCTGTGTGGACTCCACTCAGACACGGTGCTGTGTGGACTCCACTTAGACACGGTGCTGTGTGGACTACACTCAGACACGGTGCTGTGTGGACTCCACTCAGACACGGTGCTATGTGGACTCCACTCAGACACGGTGCTGTGTGGACTACACTCAGACACGGTGCTGTGTGGACTCCACTCAGACACGGTGCTATGTGGACTCCACTCAGACACGGTGCTGTGTGGACTACACTCAGACACGGTGCTGTGTGGACTCCACCAACAGGGTAGTCTCAGACACGGTGCTGTGTGGACTCCACCAACAGGGTAGTCTCAGACACGGTGCTGTGTGGACTCCACCAACAGGGTAGTCTCAGACACGGTGCTGTGTGGACTCCACCAGCAGGGTAGTCTCAGACACGGTGCTGTGTGGACTCCACCAACAGGGTAGTCTCAGACACGGTGCTGTGTGGACTCCACCAACAGGGTAGTCTCAGACACGGTGCTGTGTGGACTCCACCAGCAGGGTAGTCTAAGACACGGTGCTGTGTGGACTCCACTCAGACACGGTGCTGTGTGGACTCCACCAACAGGGTAGTCTCAGACACGGTGCTGTGTGGACTCCACCAACAGGGTAGTCTCAGACACGGTGCTGTGTGGACTCCACCAGCAGGGTAGTCTAAGACACGGTGCTGTGTGGACTCCACTTAGACACGGTGCAGTGTGGAATCCACTCAGACACGGTGCTGTGTGGACTACACTCAGACACGGTGCTGTGTGGACTCCACTCAGACACAGTGCTGTGTGGACTACACTCAGACACGGTGCTGTGTGGACTCCACTCAGACACAGTGCTGTGTGGACTACACCACCAGGGTAGTCTCAGACACGGTGCTGTGTGGACTCCACTCAGACACGGTGCTGTGTGGACTCCACTCAGACACGGTGCTGTGTGGACTCCACTCAGACACAGTGCTGTGTGGACTCCACTCAGACACGGTGCTGTGTGGACTCCACTCAGACACAGTGCTGTGTGGACTCCACTCAGACACGGTGCTGTGTGGACTCCACTCAGACACGGTGCTGTGTGGACTCCCCGTCCTACGGACTACAGCCCAGGATCCGAACTCGAAACTTTCGGCTCCGGAGTCGTATGTTCAACTATCCCACCACGCGGCATTTGTAGTTATCAATTTGTGTTCGTCTGATGAGTTATCGTTCTTTTGTCTCATATAGAGATGCTAATGCCAATTGAAACATTCGGAAAAGAATTTATTACACTTAACATTATTGGGAGGATAACGCAAGGTGAAGTGGAGGTCATAAGCAGCGAACCGGACACACGCATAACTAGCACAGCACCTAACGGCAGACAACTAGAGATGCAAATGGAGCACAGGTGGAGCACTAGATTCGTGAGTAACTAAAGACCTTATCTCACTACGGTGAGTGAGTAAAGACCTTATCTCACTGCGGTGAGTGGGTAACTAAAGACCTTATCTCACTACGGTGAGTGGGTAACTAAAGACCTTATCTCACTACGGTGAGTGAGTAACTAAAGACCTGATCTCACTACGGTGAGTGGGTAACTAAAGACCTTATCTAACTACGGTGAGTGAGTAACTAAAGACCTTATCTCACTACGGTGAGTGGGTAACTAAAGACCTTATCTCACTACGGTGAGTGAGTAACTAAAGACCTTATCTCACTACGGTGAGTGAGTAACTAAAGACCTGATCTCACTACGGTGAGTGGGTAAAGACCTTATCTCACTACGGTGAGTGAGTATAGACCTTATCTCACTACGGTGAGTGAGTAACTAAAGACCTTATCTCATTACGGTGAGTTAGTAACCAAAGACCTGATTTCACTAAAGACATGATCTCACTACGGTGAGTGAGTAACTAAAGACCTGATCTCACTACGGTGAGTGAGTAACTAAAGACCTTATCTCACTACGGTGAGTGAGTAACTAAAGACCTTATCTCACTACGGTGAGTGAGTAACTAAAGACCTTATCTCACTACGGTGAGTGAGTAAAGACCTGATCTCACTACGGTGAGTAACTAAAGACCTTATCTCACTACGGTGAGTGAGTAAAGACCTTATCTTACTATGGTGAGTGAGTAACTAAAGACCTGATCTCACTACGGTGAGTGAGTAACTAAAGACCTGATCTCACTACGGTGAGTAACTAAAGACCTGATCTCACTACGGTGAGTGAGTAACTAAAGACCTTATCTCACTACGGTGAGTGAGTAACTAAAGACCTGATCTCACTACGGTGAGTGAGTAACTAAAGACCTGATCTCACTACGGTGAGTGAGTAACTAAAGACCTTATCTCACTACGGTGAGTGAGTAACTAAAGACCTTATCTCACTACGGTGAGTGAGTAACTAAAGACCTTATCTCACTACGGTGAGTGAGTAACTAAAGACCTTATCTCACTACGGTGAGTGAGTAACTAAAGACCTTATCTCACTACGGTGAGTGAGTAACTAAAGACCTTATCTCACTACGGTGAGTGAGTAACTAAAGACCTTATCTCACTACGGTGAGTGAGTAACTAAAGACCTTATCTCACTACGGTGAGTGAGTAACTAAAGACCTTATCTCACTACGGTGAGTGGGTAACTAAAGACCTTATCTCACTACGGTGAGTGGGCAATAAAATGCAAGCAGAACACTGTACTTGTTATTTCTGAAACCATAAGATCAGTTACAGTTTAAGTTGCTTTTGAAACGAATCTCTGGGCTCAAAATATATTAGACTTGAGCGTAAAACTTATAATTATAGGTAAATTTTCTTTGCCAAAAAAATGTTTTTTTTTTGTTTTTTTTTGGAGCCAGTGACGTAGTGATATTACATTGCTGCGATTTCAGAAGAAAGCCTAATGTAACATTTTTAGAGGATTTCATCAAACGTTTATTTTTAAAACTGTGACCTTATTTTTTAAAAATGAATTATTTTAATGTAAACAATGCATGCACTTTATTTCTTGGACCCAAGTAGTTGGGGCCATTCTATTCCACAAAACTAGTTACACTATTTCAGTGGCATCTTGTAAGTCCTTTGATGCGATTTAGTCAACGAATGTAGTAGAATTGTAGAGTCTTCTTCTTCGTTGTTATTGTTATGTTGGAAGGGATTTCCTCAAACAACTAAGTATTATATGTCAACATTTCAGGCAGCTGACTCCGATTTCAGTCAGTTTTTCTTTTGTATTTAATTCGCAAGCCTAGATCCTTTGAAATAAATGTACAAGGCAGTTTTTGGTGTTGCGGTTATCCACTTTAAAAGGGTTGATATCAACAGTCATTGAGCCATCTCTGCCCGGGAGATTAAACTCGGGGCGTTTTGGTTTAGCAGCTACGAGCTTTACCGACCCCACCACAGCGACATCCTGGTTTGGTTTGGTTATTGAATCTCATTTGCCACAGTGTCCCGTTTGTATGGTGATCTTTAAACGAATGTAGGCGCCATAGCTCTCGTGGGAGAGCATTAGTGGAATCATCTGATTCGATTTATTTCCCGATTATAGTAGGGGACTCTATCTATAGTGTATGTCACTCTTTAAAACGAATGTAGGTGCTCATGGGACGCACCGTATAGTAGCCCATCTTGTCCCTAGTGTGTGGCACTCCTTAAAACGAACGTATACTGTATAATGCCTTTGGGGTAACGTGGGTCACACCAGATACCCAGACCACCCGTTGCAGATTGACCGTTGAATAAAGTAGTACTAACCCCCTTTTCAGGACGCCCAAATCAATAGGCTTCAGATGCCAAGATACCCAGTGGTGATCTCCACACATCAAACGACACCCGACTGCCACCACCATCACCCCCTCCAAATTAACATTTTATAATATTGCGGAAACCTTCTCTTATTATTATAAACTTCCCAAAGTTGAATGGCAATCGGATTAAAGATCTTGTGATGGGAAAAAATTGCAGACAAAATTTCTCCCTCGCTCGTTCTGACGAGATATTTTTAGAAGATCTCATCGATACGTTAACCAATCGTGTATTTTCAGATACGTGACCTTGTTTTCTAAAACAGAGTTATTAAAATGTAGACAAGACAGGCGCTAATTTTTTTGGAACATAGTTATCAGGGTGCGGTTTAATACACGTTACATTGAAAACCTTAAGTATATGTTAATTACGATACGCAATAAGTCGCAATAGTGTGTTAGAAAACATCTCAACAATGCCCAGGTGTCAGCGGGTACACTACCGCAGGGGCGCGGGGTGTCGCGGGACAGTTTCGGGAGACACCGGGTACACTACCGCAGGGGCGCGGGGTGCTGCCTCTGATTTGGTTTAGTATCATCGAATGTCGTGTGCTACCAAGTCTCTATTGTATGGTGCTCTTGAAAACAAACGTAGCCGCCATTGTGATAATGGAGAAGCCCGTGGCGCCAAATCGCACCTTATCGGGGCGCCGACTGATGCACCAGGTTAAGTTTGATTGTTGAATCAATTAGTGCACCTGCCCCCTGTGCAGGACTCCCAGATTTTTGTGACTAAATGTATTTAGTTTTCAGATAGCTATGCGTGAGAAATGTTATCCTCATAGTTTCTCCTGACATATTTTGTTCCGAGAAATAATTTTTATAGTTTTTTTTTTAATGTGAGATATTTCATCCTGTGATAATTTGTCCTGAGAAAAAAAATTCTAGATATATTTTACCCTCAGAACTAACTAGAGAGATTTATTTTTGTAAGTAGTTTTGTTAAAATATATTTCGCCCATAAATATTTATAGTAGATTAAGACGTTAAGACGGACCACCCGTAGGCCATTTAATGATGACCTACACATGCGTTGAACCATGACGGACTACCTTACGGCTGATGTTGAAGGCCTACCAGTGCGGACTCCTCGTACGTAAGATACTGAGGAATGAACACGTTTTCCTTGCAGATTCGCTGGCCTGGGATACGGCACTTCAATAGCGACAAACCGGTGTCTGCCATGTACTACATGGCAACGGCTTGTCGCACCGCTACCGGCAGAACAATGGAAGATGGGGACCCTGCTATGTGCAATCTCATCCCAATAGCCCTCTTCTATGATGGCTACATATGGAGGTAAATAGTGAATAACATCTCGTCTATTACCGTTACTTTTGACTTAATCCTTGCCCCTGAGGAGCAAAGGGTTGCATGTCCATGGAACTCGGTTGTGTGCGGTTCTCTTTATTTCAGCCCACGTTAACCCGGCAGTCCTTGCCTCATCTTCTACAGTCTCCTCCAGGATTTATAAAATGGTTGGCCTACTTTCCTTTCTCCCTGGGGATTCTAGTCCAATGATTTCCTCGCGATGTTTTCCCCTCCCCTTCTCACGGTATGCCCGATCCATCCCCATTGGCGGGCTTCAATATCCCTGTCTATTGGCTGTTTTTAATTTGGTGTCTTTAATGGATATTTTGTCTGGCCATCATATAATGAGGATCTGTTGTAAACATCTGTTTGCAGCTTGTCTGTATTTGTTTTGGTAACACTCCAGAGACACAGAGACTTTTGCTTTAAAATTTATGTTCAAGATGTTTAACCCTTCTAATGACGACTATATATAAGGGTTGACGTTTTGCAAAACTTTTCAATTATCTGTACAGACGACTGGGCTGATAATGTTAAGAGAGTCGGAGCGTAGTTGGTTCTAAACTTCGTCTATGAGTCAGTACAGGGGCGTAGCGAGGGGGTGGGGCGGGGGTGCGGACCGCAACGGGTGACACCATTTAGGGGGTGACACCAAGGCAAAAAATAGCAAAATATATAGAGAAAAACTTTAGAGGGGGGTGCAAATCGAATGTTTGAGGGGGGGGGGTGCAAACGAAAACTTGAAAGTTTGTCCCCGGGAAGGGTCGCTACGCCTCTGGGGGGTGACACCATTAAGTGCCGCACCGGGTGACACCCGACCACCCGGTAGAGAGTGCAAAGTTTTAATGTTCGGTGGTTGTCGTTTACTGGGATCAAAGGGGATAAGATAAGCCTTGGTATTTTAATCTCGGAGTTTAGAAGCAATTGGCTAAGAGCTTTTAGTACTTATAACAGTTTGTATAGAGTGGTAAACGTACATTTATTTTTTCTAATAGGTATTAGTAGTCTATTTTATTTTAAATTTGTCGGACTTTTAGCTATTTAGTTATCTCTTTGCTTTGTCACTAATACCGTAAAACCTGTAGTAAAGCACATTGCGTTTTGACCAAGAACTATATTATAAAATAATTTTTCTCAAACAAGCATACTATATTAAAAATATAGTTGCTGGTACCAATGGCTAGCATATATATATATATATATATATATATATATATATATATATATATATATATATATATATATATATATATATACATTATATATATATATATATATATACATTATATATATATATATATATATATATATATATATATATATATATATTATAATCTTCAAATTTCAAATCAAATGTGTATATTTTAGCACCCCATCCTCAAAGAAGGTAGCCCCGGTGAATTACGTCTGTCTGGTTGTAAAGACGGTGGACAAAGAACATTTGAAATTCGATGACCTTGATGTACCTGTAACGTAAGATACAAATTGTATAGCTTGATTCGCATTTTGGTTATCCAGACTACGGTAAAAGAACTTATTAGTGATCTTAGCCTGCCTGCGATATAAATCTTAAATGATTAAAATCTAGTATTCTTTTCCAGTCCACCATTAAAATTCTTTTTAGATTCTTATCTAGTCCACGATTACAGAACTTAATCGTTTTTACCAAGTCCAGAATTTCACTTCAACGGTTTTCTTATCCAGTCCACGATTATTAAACTCTAGTGTATTTATCCAGTCCATGATAAATGAATATTCTACTCCAACACTTGAACATACATTGTTAGGATGCTTTGGATGAGAGTACATGGAGCCCCATATGAAACTGGCAACATACATGTGTCACCAGGCACCCACACCGTGTATGGCGCAAGGCCAATCAAATTCGGCTGCTACATCTACGGCCTGGCTCGGTACTACAGCTACATGAACCCTGCAGGGTTTATCACATCGAAAATAAACGTGGTAGGTCATTTTATCACATCCGTATACAACGTGGTAGGTCATTTTATCACATCCGTATACAACGTGGTAGGTCATTTTATCACATCCGTATACAACGTGGTAGGTCATTTTATCACATCCGTATACAACGTGGTAGGTCATTTTATCACATCCGTATACAACGTGGTAGGTCATTTTATCACATCCGTATACAACGTGGTAGGTCATTTTATCACATCCGTATACAACGTGGTAGGTCATTTTATCACATCCCCCGTATCAGAGGCGTAGCTATCCTTCCCGGCGCCGGGGAACAAACTTTCAGATTGCTCCCCCCCCCCCCCCCCCGCCACCCCCCACATATATTTTTAAATATTTATAATGCAAAACTGCAGCTAAAATGAGCTTTTAATTTTGTTTCAACCCATTTTGGCGCCCCCTAAGGTCAGTGCCCGGGGACATATGTACGCCCCGTTCCCCTACCCCTCGCAACGCCTCTGCCTCGTATACAACGTGGTAGGTTCTTTTTTCACATGGACAATTAATGTGATTTGTTATTTTATAACAACGCCAGTGATCGCCGTAATTTCAACACCTCGTTAATATTGACTATATCTTGATTACGTCACTAAAGAGAATATTTGATAATTACATTGGGGACTCGGTTGTCATGTGACTCGGTTGTCATATGACTCGGTTGTCATGTGACTCGGTTGTCATGTGACTCGGTTGTCATGTGACTCGGTTGTCATGTAACTTTTACAATGTAATGTTTGTTGACACTTTTCTATTTACAAGCTTTTACTTAGGTCACAGTGTTCTTTGGTTTGTTTGTTGATTTGTAGTCAAATCTAGCAAATCAATTTTGTCCCACTTCTAATACAGCGTTCAAAATTTTTCGTTAAAAATTCGCAGATACGTTCTTCTTTGGTGACAATGCATGAATATCAATATTTTAGTTTAAGTAGATAGACATCGACATTTTAAAAAATATATATTTATATTTAAAGTGGAGATAACAAGATACAATAGTAGCGATCGCATGTTCAGAGCGCTGCCGTGGTGAATCGTCACATCACGGTTGGATGATTGCACGTCACACTAGGGCCAGTTAACTATCTTTTACATAGGGGGGATAACAACATAATTAATAGGGCCAGTTAACTATCTTTTACATAGGGGGGATAACAACATAATTAATAGGGCCAGTTAACTATCTTTTACATAGGGGGGATAACAACATAATTAATAGGGCCAGTTAACTTTCTTTTTACATCGTTGGGATAACAACATAAATAATAGGGCCAGTTAACTATCTTTTACATAGGAGGGATAACAACATAATTAATAGGGCCAGTTAACTATCTTTTACATAGGAGGAATAACAACATAATTAATAGGGCCAGTTGTCTATCTTTTAGATAACATCATAATTAATCTCAATCGATTACTTCTTCATCCTATTAATGTCAGTTGACTCTTAGTTACGGACGGCTGGTTTTGTAGCTTTTTCAATTTTTGTTTGCTGCAAAGAGAACTACATCACTCGATTCATCAGATAATGTATGTTTAATCTCTCGTCCAGCAATGTATTCCATCATTCAATTCATCACATAATGTATGTTTGATGTCTCATCCAGCAATGTATTCCATCATTCAATTCATCACATAATTTATGTTTAATTCTCTCGTCCAGCAATGTATTCCATCATTCAATTCATCACATAATTTATGTTTAATCTCTCATCAAGCAATGTATTCCATCATTCGATAAGAAGGAACCAGGCGATCTTATCGACAACGACTGTGACCAAAGTGTCGATGAGGAGATCGAAGATGGTATAGGTAATGTAAGGGTCAAGTTCAAAGATAAAGTAGGTAATGTAAGGGTCAAGTTCAAAAATAGAGTAGGTAATGTAAGGGTCAAGTTCAAAGATAGTGTAGGTAATGTAAGGGTCACGTTCAATGATAGTGTAGGTAATGTAAGGGTCAAGTTCAAAAATAGAGTAGGTAATGTAAGGGTCAAGTTCAAAAATAGAGTAGGTAATGTAAGGGTCAAGTTCAATGATAGTGTAGGTAATGTAAGGGTCAAGTTCAAAGATAGTGTAGTTAATGTAAGGGTCAAGTTCAAAGATAGTGTAGGTAATGTAAGGGTCAAGTTCAAAGATAATGTAGGTAATGTAAGGGTCAAGTTCAAAGATAGTGTAGGTAATGTAAGGGTCAAGTTCAAAGATAGCGTAGGTAATGTAAGGGTCAAGTTCAAAGATAGTGTAGGTAATGTAAGGGTCAAGTTCAAAGATAGTGTAGGTAATGTAAGGGTCAAGTTCAAAGATAGTGTAGGTAATGTAAGGGTCAAGTTCAAAGATAGTGTAGGTGATGTAAGGGTCAAGTTCAAAGATAGCGTAGGTAATGTAAGGGTCACGTTCAAAGATAGTGTAGGTAATGTAAGGGTCAAGTTCAAAGATAGTGTAGGTAATGTAAGGGTCAAAATTTGATTACATTTGATACATGATTTTCCTTTTTTTAGATAATGATAACGACAACAGAATAGACGAGGACTTGGCGAACCCACCCAGAAGTTGGTTATGTTAGCTGTGATAGAATGCGTTGTATGTTGTTGTGTTTGGCTGTGTTGGGTTAATTTTTTTTTAATGTTTTAGTCCGCAGCGTCTGTTTGTTTGTTTGTGGGTTTGTGGCAAATCTTGTAACTCAATTTCGAACCACTTTTAATTCGTCTATTTCGGTCAAACTTTCCATATACATTCCACGTCAATGACAATACAAATCTATTTATTTTTAAAAATTTAATTATATGCTTAATTAATCGTTTAACGTTAAATTAACGGTTCGAATATAAGCTAAAAAAAAATTACTCGACAGATTACTATATTCAATAACAGAAGGGGAGATAACTAGCTAGACATAATAACCCATAACAGTCTGGTGAGCTGAGGCTCACGACGAATGTTCACGATCGTAGAGCCGATCAATCTAGTGAAGGCTATTAGATGCAGATAATAAAATTTTTAAACGATTTGAAACCAAAGGGAGGTAGCAAGATGAAGAACTATCCTTCGCTCTACAACTAGCTGTTGTCTGTATATCGTGGTCACGGACGGCTGCATTCACGGGGCAGATAATCGTCTTTCAGATATCGCGAGCTACTGGTGGAGTTTTAAAGCAAATATTTTTAGTCGTGTCAACTTCATAAATCAGAAACCCCTAGAAAGTAGAACATAAAAGAAATATAAAAACAACTTTATAACAAGGAGCTTTTAAATGCACTGAAACTAAGAAAATAAAACTAATATGCTTTCTTTCATAAAAGCTCTGGGCGCTAAAAAAAGATCTCATGAGCGACCAAAGCTTTCATGATAATGGAAAAATTTTTTTTTTTTTAAGTTACACTTAAAAAAATAAGTTTGGAGTTTTTGTAAACTTAAAATAGTGTCCTTCAAATTACGTTTAGTTTAACTATTGAGCAAAATAAACATTAATACATTTTCTTGAAAGCCAAGTATAGAATCATTTAAGTTAAGCTTATCGGCCCAAATTAAGGGAAGTGTTGGACATACATAGATGTAGTCGAGGCTGAACGCCGAGAAAAAAAACAATGGCAGTCTTTTGTGAGTGCAATATATATTGTAAATGTAACCAAATATTTTTAGCCAATGGAGCATGGAGTGCTTGGACAGAATGGACGTGTAATGTGATTTGTCACGTGTACCGCGACCAGCGGACCAGGTGAGTATTTCACACCTGTTCACCTTTGTCTGGGTCAGTGAATGATTGTTGTATGAAGTTAACCTCACGCCCTTCTTTAAATTAACAACCATGGAGCTATACCTGATTAAATGAGAAATGTGTTTTACCTTCCAGACTATGCAACAACCCAGCTCCCGCCAACAACGGCAGAGATTGTGAAGGCAACACAGTTGAATACAGAGACAGCGATTGTGGTCGTAATGTCATCTGCCCTACAGGTCTGGGGAGTTGTCATTTTTTTCCCAATACACTACTATGCATATTGAAGTATCTGTTTTAAATAATAGCAGAAAAGGATTTGAGCAAAGCTTCCTCTTTTCATCAAGCTTTAACCACATCATAGTCTCTGCTCATAAACCTACGGTGTCAGCATCGTTGGACCGATTTGGCCACTCCTTCGGCACTATTAGACTACAATCAAACACATACCAGCTGACGTTATCAAAAATGATGAAATGGAATTTTGTACTGTAGAGCTCGACATCAGCACAGAACACAACAGTACACAAGCTAACACACAACACAACCTCACTCAACATCAATATACTATAATACAATACTGTGAAATTTAAAGCAGTGCGAAGTAAAACTTCGTTTAGACATTGGTACTAAGAGTTGAAAATCCTATTTCCCCTCGTCTTACTTCTGTATGTATTGAGATCATTTATATAATCCCTCACATATTTACTTACCTACATTACAACCCTTAGTTTCTGTATAACTAACTTCACAAATGTTCTTGTACAGACTGCCCAGTCGGTAGATGGGATCTGAACTGTACCAAAAGTTGTGAACATTGTGAGGATGACTGCAACAAATTTCTTGGCAACTGTACCAGCTGTACACCGGGCTTTATGTTTCCCGAACGTTCCTGCAATGAAGGTCAGTGATTGTGTCAGGTGAAGTGTATTTCGTTGTGAATAAAATATACTTTCACATACGTATTCAAATTTTAGATATTCATTAACATAATTATTTATTTAAATTAAAAAGGGGATGTACAAATTACCCTATTTAAATGCATTTGTCGTAAATGTGATGAAAAACATTTGAATTAAAAAAAAACCGTTGCAGATTTTTTTTTAATTTGTAAAATGACTTTTTTTCTAAACTCTTAAATGTAACTTATCAACAATTCGTATACAATGCGTACGTCTTTTTTTTTGCTTTTGACTCATGAAATATATAAATTAACTATTGTATCTTTGATTCAATTGAAGTGTGTCCCCCATTTACATATGGCAAAAACTGTGAGGGAAATTGTATGGAGAAATGTGAGGCTGAATGTCTGGATAAAGTCAATGGAAACTGTCCACGTAAGTGTTTTAGCTTAACTCCTGTTGGGATTATCTTAACTCAATGGTTTAGCTTAACTCCTGTTGGGATTATCTTAACTCAATGGTTTAGCTTAACTCTTGTTGGGATTATCTTAACTTAATGGTTCAGCTTAACTCTTGTTGGGATTATCTTCAACTCAATGGTTCAGCTTAACACACTTTTTCATAGTAAATTTTAAAATCTGTCAAGTGTACTGTGTTTATATTTTCTGCCTGTTATGTTGTTGTATGAAGTCCAGAATAGATGTCTTTTGTTTGCAGTGAAAGACAACCCATATTTAAAACTGTTGTGGATGCTACTGCTCATTCCAGTTATCGCACTTTTCCTTTTTGTACTCAGGTTAGTTTTTTTTTAATTGTCGTAATTTTGAAATAACGTATTTTTTATTTCACTTACTGCAGTAATAAAATACATAAGGTAATATCAGGCTGGAATTGTAAAACAAAACTAGAATTCACAACGTCATTTTCTCAGACTTAACAACGACATTTTTTAGGCTTTGCAAACTCCTTGACTACATATTTTCCCAGAACACAACAACATTCTCCTAGACTTAACGTGTGGCAAAAAAAGGCAGAAGATTAGCAGATTAGGTCGAAAAGTTCTTACGTTAAACTTCGTTATATGAGAAATACAAGATCTGAAGGTCTCGCTTTTATTTTCTTCCTACACAAGAACAGAATTATTATCAGAACTATGATGTAAAAAAAAACAACCTTCCTGCAACACTGAAAGTGTTATTAAGTGCTCATTATTTAGTTTTGTAAAGACGAAACCTGCTGATTATAAGAATTCAAACAAAATTTTACTTATTCTTTACCCTACTATAAGGGACTTTGTGACCTAGAGGTAGAGCGCTAGACTGCTTATCCGAAAGTCTTGAGTTCGAATCCGGGTTAAAGTCAGTAGAGCATTTCTGAGTCCACCCAACTCTGATGGGTAGGCCTATCTAGTTTACGTGAGGGAAAGTAAAGGCGGCTGGGCATAGTGCTGACACCACTATCTCTTTATATGCCGATGTCACGGAAAGAGGTATATTCCAATTAATCTGCGCAATGGACCGCCAGGTTCGAAAAGGAACTTTATAGCCCGCCATCTGAAAAATGATAATTCCAGCCTTGTTGACAGCAAAAAAAGATTTAAATCATAAATGTTTGTTTCATCAGACGCAGGCAAAACTCTTCGTCAGCACCGGTTGGAGAGGCCAAACCTCCAGCAGAACCCCCAGCAGAGGTCGTACACAGTAGAGCCCCGTCGTCAGTTCCAGGGTCTGTGGCAGGGGGCAAGGCTATGTCTTTGGTCGGAGATTTGGAAACTTCGGTCTAAGTGGGTTTGTTGATGTCCGGTGGAGTAGTGGGATAGTTGAACAGAGATATTGGGTGTAATACAACCGCAATAGAGAAAAAATTGGTTTGATTAGTATCACAGGCACATTATGTTGATGAAGATTTCAGATTAAAATATCAAACCATATTAAAATCTATGTATACATTGATTATAGTTTCTAACATATTTAATTTACATTAATATTAGTATTGTGTTATTTAACTAAATTATAATTTTCGAACTCTGTAAAATAAAAGACAGTTTAAATTCATTATGTTCGTTGATTCGATTTTTTAAATCTATCAAGCTGTATTCTTTTTGTATTAGGTTGTATTTTTCAAGTTACTTCCTTGGTAACGTTTAGACAGTTCGTTTTCTGGGGTTTAAAATGTATTTTTTATATTATAATGTACTACAAAGAAGAAAATAATTACATTAATTAAATATATAATAATGCATCACTATTTAAATAACTATATAGAAAAGCGTGGGTCGCTTCTTAAATTTTAGTTTGCTATTCAATAGATAATATAGTGACCCACGCCTTTCTTTATATTAATTTAAATATTTTTGTATTTTATATATTTAGAGAAAATTATTTATTTTCACCTTTTTGTAGGGCATTATTATATAACAGCTTATTATTAAAACGTTTTTAGGATTTTTTTACACGTTTTTATTTAACTTGCTTCCGCTGGCTTTTATCTTCCTCCGTCATGTATTCAAACCGCTATGGGAATTTTCGAACACTTATAAGGCTAATAAGTAGGTCGCCAACCAGTTCTATGGCTCATTCAGGGTTTATTGAGCCGTAGAACTGGTTGGCGACCTACTTACCAGCCCTATAACGGACCGATTCGTATCAAAATTGCCAAACCCGGCGACAATGCAAGCTAACATCAAAAACAATTTTCTATAACCATTTTTAACTTCTCCGTGTTTCTTATAAGGGGATATGCTCTGTATTTTTTCTATTTATTTTACAATTTAAGATCTAAAGCTTTTTAATACTGTTACCGTTTTTGACACATTAAAGTAAGTATATAACAGCAAGAAAAGAGTTGAAAACAATTTTGGTTGTCATAGAAACCCGAAAAAGTCTCCGCCATTTTGAATTTTTTGGTACTTTTCAAAACGCTAAGGCTTTTTTAAAATTTATACATTTATAGCAATCAAATTTAAGCTGCCTATATTTCAGTATTTATTTTAACTTTTGTCACAACAAATTTTTGAAAGAGCTACTGGTTAGAATTTTACAAGGTCTGAAAAATAGTACCCTTTTTAGTATTCAAAAGTTTCAAATTTGCATATACTTTTTTTCTATGAAAGCCACCACCATTCCCTCGTGAAAAAAGTTTTATTTCTGCATGAAGAACAATTACAGAAAATATGGGTGGCATTGTTTAATAAATTTAAAAAGTAGTAGGTTTTTTAGTGTTAAAAAAAGTGGGAACTGAAAAAAAGAGCAAAAAGTAAACAAAAGTAGGTCACGAAAATATTATATCTATGAAATTTGTAAAGTCGGTTGTAAGCTTTGGGTATTTCCGGGATGATTGAAAATACGCTATTTTTTTTTTTTTTTTTTTTTTAATACTTTAATTTTTCAATTTAAAACAAATACAGTACCATTCTACGCCGTTTGGGTGGATATTTACAAGACAGTTACATTGGTGTACAGAGTGTAGTAAATAAATAGCAAAATATGTAAATGAATACAAAAGATACATTGAATTTAAAGCTTGTTGGTTCAAAAATTGAAAAGAGGCTGGTTTGTAACATGTTTGCCAACAAAAGTGGTGGAAGAGTATAACGTATGGAAGAATAGTCGAAAACAAAGCTAGTTTCCGTGGATTTCATCCCATTCTGTACAATAAACATAGTAAATACCAAAGAAAAATGAATAACCAGTAGAGTAGTCACATACACACACACACATTTGTTGTTTTACAAAGATTTCGTTTACATTTGTACGATAGTGAATTACAAAAATAGATAAATAAGTAAATGAATAAATATTCGAAACTGATGTTTTGGTGGGTGGTGGAGTCGTTGGAACAGTTAAAGGGAATGTGGGGTTATCATGTCTGAGGGTGAAGAGGGGGAGGGGGTAGATGTGTCTGACGAGGCATGGAGAGAGTGTCTGTGTGTGTTTAAGGCAAGCCAAGCGACAAAATCTGTGCTGTGTTATCTAACTGCTGATGTGTTTCTATTTATAGTGTGTGTGTGTGTGTTTGGGGGGGGGGGGGGGGTTGACGAACAGATTGCTGTGTGAGCGATTAAGCGGGAGGGTGAAAGGTTGGTATGTTCAAGTCGGTGTTTATGTTTATTTGAATGTTTAGTACCGACAGGTTAAGGGTGGGTAGCTATCCCGGGGTGTGGGGATACAGTGGGGTTTTAAAGGTAAAAAATTGGTTAACAGTGTTCTCATAAAAGAGTTAGTAAAGTTAACGAAACAACTGTAAGTAATGGTAACCGGAAAGAAGCGCAACGGAAAAAAGAGCAACGCAATAAAGCGCACACAGAAAAAAAGAGCAAACAGAAAAAAGCGCAAACAGAAAAAAAGCACACACAGAAAAGTGTGCACACCGAAAAAATGCGCAAAGAGAAATTTTAGCACAAAGATCTCTTTATGGACTACATGACACCTTTATAACTTAGAATAATAATTTTCAATTATGAACATTACATACTTTTTTTTTTTTTTAATGTATTAACGTTTATAAAATTTCTAATTGTGTCTGAAATGCATTTGCATTTTGTCTTTTAGCACTCATTACGTCCCTTGATTTGGAAAACACAGTTACTTCCCTTTAAAAACCCATTACATCGGAGGAGAAAGAATTTACTTTTTATTACTTTGCTTTGGTGAAAAAAAATATTACATAATTAGCGGGGATTGATTAAGTGCAATGTCGTTGGTATTTTAAATACTGCTTTTTATTTATTCTATACACTGAACGTACTGTTTACTAATTATTTTTTAAAATCAATAACAGTTAATAAGCCAGGTCCTACAAATCCTATATGTTTATTTCTTTCCATTTACGGTAAAGGTTGGAGTATTTAAATTTTGTTCACTAAATTGAAACAGGCGCGTCAGCCGGCGCCCCTGCAGGGTTCGATTAGGCGCCCTGGGCTATCATGTTAGCGCTATGGTGCATAAGTTCGTTTTGAACAGTGCGATAGACTATGGATAAGAAAGGTTGCTATAGTCTTTGAGTGTATCAAATCCGGGCGTCCTCCGGCACCCCGACAGGGTGCTATTTGGCGCCGAGGCCTTCCCGTGTTCGCTATGGTACCTACGTATGCGTACGTAAGTTCAAAAGACTATAAATAAGTTGGGTACTATAGTCGTTTACTAAGTTGAATCAGACGGTTACGCCGCACGTCGTGGTGCGATTTGGCGCCCCGGGCTAGACTGTGGACACTTTGAGTTTATCTTCACGTTTGTTTTCTTTATGTTTGAGTTTGGGTTTGCGTTTGGATTTGGGTTTGGGTTTGTTTTCGTTTGCTTTTTTTTGCGTTTGTGGTTTCGTTTGCTTTTTTCTTTGCGTTTGTGTTTTCTTTGTGTTTGTGGTTGAGTTTGTGTTTGCGTTTGGTTTTGTGTTTTTGCTTGTGTTTGTATTTGTGTTTGTGTTATGTTTGCGTTGTTTTTTTTTTGTGTGTTTTGGTGTTGTTTGGTTGTGGTTGGGTTTGTGTTTGCGTTTGGATTTATTTTCGTTTGCTTTTTTGTTTGCGTTAGTGTTTGTGTTTTCTTTGTGTTTGTGGTTGGGTTTGTCTTTGCGTTTGTTTTTGTGTTTTCATTTGTGTTTGTTTTGTGTTAGTGTTATGTTTGCGTTTTTTGTGTGTTTTGGTTGCTTGTGGTTAGGGTGGGCAATGCCGGGTATATGCTGATCACTAAACACACAAGTCACGGTCCTTTGCAGATAGTTTTTCAGAGATGCCAGTGCAGGGCCTGGCTGGGACGGCTTGTAAATAATAAATGCAGCTTTCCAAATACAATATGATGACATAAAACGTTTTGTAGAAAGCTTGTAAGATTGAGAAAAAATTATTTTTTTTTTTAATTAATAGGTCATAAAAATTGTATTTTAAACAATTTTTTTAAATTAATTCAATTATTTTCTTTTGTGTTTGTATTGGTTATTGTTTAGTTAATTGTATTGGTTATTGTTTAGTTGTTTGTATTTGTAATTGTTTAGTTAATTGTATTGGTTATTGTTTAATTGTTTGTATTGGTTATTGTTTTGTTGTTTCTATTGGTCATTGTTTAGTTGTTTGTATTAGTTTGTTTTTTTAGTTGTTTGTATTGCTGAAGGTGTTTACTTGTTTATTTCAATTTTTAAAGTAATGCTGTGCTTACTTTTAACAAATTTGTTTACAACTCTAAAAGCCGAGAAGTAGTTTACTATTAAGTGGCAGGTCATATTCGTTTACAATTAATAGTCAACAGTAGTTTACAAGCTACTGGTTGTTAAAAGCAAATATCTTTAACTGGGAATGCGATAAAAAGTAAGAAAATAAACTTAAATTTTATTTCACAGTACGAACTAAAATTTGGTGGCAAAATATTTTGAAATGATTTCTAGAGATTACGGATAATAGTGTTATAGGTAATACAAATTATATAGGCCTATCTTATTGTTATTGCATTTAAATTTTTGTTGCTGTTAATGATTTTAAAAATACTTGATTCATTCACACTGATCTTTGCGATTGCGCATCATCGAGAAATCGGGATTTTCCATTGACTGCACACATTGTCATGTAATTCAATATGGCGATTAGCGCTTTGTAAAAGATATTTGGTTAAACTACTACAATAGTTTACGACAGAGAGGAGGCAGCAGTTAGTCAGGATGTGAGTAAATAGCTTGTGTTTTGTAAATCTAGGGCTATTTAAATGTGTACTTTAGAGCGAGTCTACGGTTAAATCGTGTGGTAATTAGAGTATTTTTACATGAATAGATAATGCACTACACTAATGATTTCTAGTAGAC